TGATCATATCCCGACCGGACCACAGACGTCCCACTGTAGTGTCGTCGCAGTCCGATGTCCACTGCACTCGTCATGGTAGTGTCACCAGCCAGTGGGGTAGAGGACGAAGGATCTCCACCGGGCGCTGCTGGGTCCGTAGACTCATCAGGCGATCGGATAAAGCGTTCCTCCAAGTCCTTCTCGATAAGCTCATGCAGAGCCTCTAAAAAAAGGGCGCTACCTCGACACATCCAGGCAAGACCCCCACCCGTCTTCTCCTCAAGATTCTTCTGCAGGAACTCAAACAACTGCCGCCGGGCCACAGCAGCATGAACATCTGATCACCAGAAGCGCACTAGCCCCCCCGACCATCACACCGACACGACCACTTACCACGCCGGACAGAAGATGAGTTCCCATGATTCAGCCGTCGTGTGCTCCAATGATCAGACAAGCCAGGCGTCATCTAAGAAGCTTTTATCCAAAGTGGCCAGTAGAGTCCACACTTACCCTTCGTCGCAAATCTCTCTCACTATCACCCTCCGAGTCTTCGTCCACTCGATTAAGGTAGTAACCATAGACATACGTCCACTTGAGTACTCTCCGACACTCCACTACTTGCTGTAGGGCGCTCGTTATGAACCCAAGCTCCGATACCTGTCTGAGGACGCTCCCAGTAGAACTCCATCAGCGACCAAAAAAGGCAGTGTTGAAGTAGAAATATATGTTCGCTTTCCTTAGCTGATCTCAGGTGTTTCCTCACTACTTACACAACTTTCAATGCAAATTCGGGTAGAAATGTACAGAAACCAATGAGAATTTCCGAAAATTTTCTCAGAATTTTCACATTTTCACCAACGCATGTAGCCGACTGTATGCATATTCTCCCACACTCCAGGCCCTCAGATGTCACTAAATTCTATCAGAATGACCATTACATCAATATCGTCACGATCATGCAAGATCTTCCTCAGCTCATCCAACTTACCACTAGCAATAACCTGATGCCCAATAGAACCACTCCAAAGCTCGGCTATATTACCTCCCGAGCCAGATTAGCCGCCCTCTCGTGGTTCACATAGCGTTCATAGTGGAACATGTATTTCTGCAGGGAGTGTTTGGCCTTCTGACGTACTTTCTCCTGAGACCCCATTACAACAGTGTTGGGAGAATATGTTCGCTTTCCTCAGCTGAACTTGAGAATTTCCCAACTAACTATACACGTTTACATACTTATCCGGGTAGAAATGTACAAGAATCACGAAAATTTCCCAAAAGTTTCTCGCAATTTTCATACCATGTGCATATCTCCCCACAGTGCATCCATCACCACTACCCCTTCTCGCTGTCTCCTCCCTTCTTCCGTATCATCTCGAGTATTCCGTTCGTAAATATTACAGCTGTAGAGCCTAAGAGAAAGACACCTGCCCACATTGCAAAGCCTGCCCCTGAGCCCACCCTCCTGTAGACTGCCCATGCTGTGCCCACGGCGTCAAACAAAGCCAGCAGAACTCTTGGCCGCACCCTAAAATCGATCAAAGTCCACACACACGAATGCCGACCGTCTCAGGTTCGGGTTCATACCAACGCCGGAGCATAACGAGATACAGCAGTACTGCGCCGAATTCACCAATCATGAGGGCGCCAGCCAATCGGTGACAACAATCCCCCCGCCCACCTCCGCCCGATTCACTGCATCTCATGTGATTACATCCCTGATTCTTCTCAATGGGCCGGCCACACTGAAAGTGTAAGAGAATGACCTTGATCAGAAGAGCACGTGAAAAGTCACCCTCGGGCACTGCTTGGTATTGGCGAGAATCCAAGAGACGTTCTCACTCTCATTAGAGTTCTTTACTTCCCAATCATACACCTGCTGGCAGGACGCTGGCTCATGGGCTTCCCTTTGACAGGAGAAACACCAACAGTAACTAAGAATACCACCTCAGCCTCAAGTCATTGTGAACCGCACTAGGGCGTCCTATGACACTACAAGTCGTCTAGGATAAGACTCCTCTCACAGTACGACACTTCCGCCATCCTCTAGCAGGAACCAAACTATCCTACCCGCAATCACAGACAACAGTATCGGACTCCACTGCTATAGAGCTCCCTCTCCCCCCACTCCGATGAACATCCTTAGGATGAGAAAACTTCAGCACAGCCCGACCACACCCTCCTACCAACCAAAAGCCCCTACCTATCACACCAACTTCGAGAAGGGCTTACCTAGCGGGTTAGGGCACCACAATGTGCGCGGATTCGCCGACACAAAACTGACAGTAACGAGCTTGGCCCCTTACACGCCCTTTACTGGCCGCTTACAAAAAATCGTAATAAAAACGTATGAACTTCTGGCGATCTTCCGACGACTTCAGAAATCGCAAGAACGTAGTCTTTGGTACTGATAGAAGACCAGACCAGCTAAACAAGCCTCGACCCAGAGACACTCACTTCGTCGCTCGCACTTGTGCATAACACAACGGGCGTCCGGTGCCCCCCGGCCCACGTCGCCTGACAGCACCGTAGTACTCATGATGATAGTAGCCTCAAGTGTAGCTCACTCAGCTTAGTGCTGACGTATTGGGCAAAACAGTCCTTACACGTGACGTGGTCTAGCGAGCATCCATCTAGGAGAACGCAGTCCTAAAGCACGGTGGCTGCTGTCAAAACCATAGATCGAACATTCGGTGGCGAGGCTCACCTACCTTCAGAAGCTCTTCACAGTAGCATACCTTGCAGGTTACACGTGTAGATCCTGACACAGATTCATCAGGCTATAGTCAATACTAACACGAGCTGCTAGTTTTAGTAGGGCGGCCGACTCACCATCGGAAGTTGGTCCACTCGACTTGAACACACCACATTTCTCCCTCACCCAGTCCTCTCCTCTCGCTTCAGAAAACCAAGCCTGACTCAAAAACTGCACTCGATCGATCGCCAACCACGACTAAATCAGCCATGGACAGACCGAGCGTCGACAACCCCACCACAGTACTTCCTGCAACGGCAATTCTTCCCACCCGAACTCCTTCATCAGCGCAAAGGCGTCATCAAGCGTCACATTGAGTAGCTCCGTCACCCGGGCAGCCTAACCCCACGAGCGGTCCCAGCCCATTACAAAACCATCATCACCACCTTCTCCCGAGATATCCTCACCAAATCAGCAGCAGCCATCACACAGAAGTTAGCACACGAGATTCGGGCTGAGTGAGCACGACCAACCTCAGCCGCCGATCGAACCAGGGCAGGAAGCCCCACACACCTGATACAGAGCTGTCGTCCTTAGCCGCTAGGATGTTCTCGGCTGTCGCTGCCGGTTGTTTCACTGTCGAGCCCTTTAAAGATTTCAAGCCGGTCACTGGGGTGGCTGATGAAGGCCTATCTTCTGATACAAAAAGTGTATAAAATAACTCCAACACCTCCTCTCGCCACGTACTGGGTTCCTTCACTGGAGTTGTTGTGATAGCAACAGCAGCAGTACTATCATCATCAGGATTCGCTGAGTTAGCGACCTCTAGTGGTTCCATAATCTGCGCCGACAGTGCTTGGACCTAACATGAGCGTCTCTGGCAGACCAAGGGCTAAGGACAGGTACATCCTCCTCCTCTTCTCCTCCCTCTGTAGGGACATCCCCGCCGCTGGTCAATACATGCACATCAGCAGGGGAGTCGGTCTCCATTCGAAAACTGCCAATTCGAATTTCCATGAATACCATGGGAGAGCTCACCACCTTGCATCTTCAGCAGCAACAGGGGAGTGAGGATGAACATCGCCTTCGGAATCACAATTGGAGATCTCCACATCGCAATCATCATAGTAGTGGAACTCCTGAGACGTTCGAGTAACGCCCAAGACCGATTGTAAGCAGCACTCACGTCCAAGGCAGCGGAGTCATCATCTTCCCCATCGCTCATTGACCACACTGACGATGATGATGCCTCGTGCGAGCCCATGTCCAAGGACACTGGAGAGGCACCCAACTCCTCAGGAAGTTACTTTAACACAACACTCGATCATTTACAATGATACAGGACTAGCAAAAGAGGCCGCGAGCATCACAAGCAATCACAGTCCTCTCCAAACGGCTTCGACATCACTATCAGCAAGGGAGTATCTAGAGGTCCATGGCGTCAACTCTAACCCGATGCCAAGTACCATCAAGCCTCGATGAGCCAGCCTATATCAGTCTTTTGCTGCCTCCTACTCAGCCATGGGCAGGATGAGCTTCTGGCCATACCACTTGCTGAAAAAAATAGAGACGTAGATCCTCTTCCGAGAGTGAAAACAGCGTGAGCACCTCATTGCAAAATAGTAGAAAAAGTCACAGTACAATGCCACTTGGATGGCTCCTCCGACCCAGCCGACCCAATTCACATATCCCTCTGTGAAGTAGCGGTAAATCTGAGAGAGAGAAATTAGTTTCCTCGGGTCGTTTAGAGGAGTGCCACTGTACCCAGTTGATTATGTAGAAGCCTCTATACGCTCCCATGGCGAATACGAAGTTACTCGTCAAATTTTCTACCTAAAACGCAGAATTTTCTCGAATATTTTTTCGAGCCGAGCCATACCTCCCTCTGGCGCTGCAACAGTGACAATTGCGGCAAAATGGCAACTGCCTCAATCCAAATCGACATGGTCCATAGTATCTGTAGCTAAACTGACCATACCATGTACGGAGGGCTACTACCTCAGCAATAGAGTAATCGGCAGTAGTGATGAGAGTAAGGATGATACACGGAGGAAGCAGCCACCTGATGACGGTGGTGATGACCACGATAGGGGAGGTTGAGGCGCCCTTACTTGACATAGTTGAAGTTATCAGCAGCAGCATCATACGTCTGTTTAACAGGTCCTCGTTTGAATTTCATAGTGTAAACCAGATGCAATGTAAGAGTAATGAAGACCAATTTCATCACTAACAAGGAATGATCCTCCCGGCTGCTGAGCCTCTCCCCAGTTAGTACCACTATTATAAAGGCTCACGTACAGCCAGAGGAGGTCGATGTATCGGAAGATGAAGACCATGGCGTACATCTCTTGCATCTTACACGATATACCTGATTTGAATCTTACCTAGAGGAACCTAAGATACGGCCCACTCACCAATACAGCTCTTCGACTTCTGCAGTTTGAGGACGAGGAGAAAGATGCTCAACAAGTGGAGCATGTCCCCGCAAAACCGAAAAATGTTCATGGCGTTTGGTGATTAGGACGACGAAGCTGTGATGATTAGCCTTCGAAGAGACTGTGGGAATCCACTCAGAGGGAGAAAACTCAACAGTCCACTGAATGCCACATTCTGACCTATTTTGTATCTTTCAATGGCAACCTCAAGATACTCCATGCATTGTTCAGATTGGCGAGCGTAGGCTGAAACTCCAGAAGTGTGTCGTTGTTCACTATCATCCCAGGGCACTGTGAGCTGCTTACGGCACTCAAGTTATCCATTACAGGGCCAACGAGTGGTCAGTAATCATCCTAGACCAGGCTGCACCTTTTCCTTACAACGTTTATAGGTGAGTAAAAACGTCCATAAAATGGGTCAAAGCGTCCGAAGCGGTATTTTGACACAGTTCGAACTCATTCAAGCGCTTCCTAAATTCCGAGTTATTAGCTTCCCTCGGGTTTGGTCATGTTGAAAGCTTTCCTGTTCAACGATGCCAGGTGTTCAACACTACTGCCACGAACCCAAAAATGGTGTTCTAGGGGGTCTGCCCGGACCCGAAACGGTTCCGAGTAGTTGGGCTAGTGAATGCGCTTCGTCCAACATGCGAGCTATTAATTAGGAGCTGTGGGTTGACGTGGATCGTCGAGGCGCGGTCGAGATGCTTTTGGGCCTGTTTTGTATCTTGGGCGAGTGACCTCGGGGAATCTTTCAGTTACATTTCCAATTCGATGGGCTGCCGGAGTCGTGCATCACTGTTATCCTTGGTCTTGAGTGTACTCTTATTGGTACTGCCGTCCTCGCTGGTCGAGGCCAAGTACGCGTCCTCGACGGTTATGCTTGGCGGGCCTCGTGAAATGCACAGGTGGAAATATCTTTCCAAATTTGGATACGACATAGGTCCGCTGGACTACCTTCTCTCGCTGTAGGATTTCTTCCCCTTGATGCAGGTACCGGCTATTGGCGAGTTCGGATGCGAACAGTGAGGCCCCATCTGACGGAGCCCGTGAGGATCCCTGTTGAAGTGTAATGAACCCGCCCCCCAGTCTGGACCTGTCACACGCCATGTTCGATATCAGATATCTCGACAACGATTGGGATGCGGTCGAGAGTGCTGATTTTTGCGAGAGAAGCCGATACCGTAAAACGTCCAGATTCGTGGAGTTGCCAGCCAACGGTGAATGGAGCGGCTGGGTCTCTGTACTGCTACTTGACTGTGGGTCATTCTGATATTGACCGAACGTTCTTCAGGGAGAGCTCTCGCAAACAGTGCGGCCACACGTGTGGTACTTCGCAGTGTTGGACTGTGGGGAGCAACTCAAGTCCACTACTAGGATCAAGTACTACATCTCTCTCACTGCGTTACGGTATGGCTGCTTTAGGTTTGAGTTCATAGCCCATCAAGAGAATGGGTCGGAGTTCTCTGCTGAGTTGAGGGGCACTCGTGGCATCGTGTGGGTCCAGCTCATTATATCTGGTAGCTCCGCTGTAGCGGCTCATCTCGCCTAGCTTGAATACATGTTTGCTCTCAGTCCTATTTACGTGGTTCTTTGCGAAGGAGTGCCGAAAGTTCGTCAGGTCGGCGGACTCGTTGCATCCCGTTGTTATCACTCTGGCTTGTGCGATAGCTCTGCAGGTAACTCGGAATTCATTCCCGCGCAGATTCGATCCTCCCATCTGTCATTTTGTCAGTTTTGCTGTACAGTATTTGAACTCATCCATTTGCATAATTACTCCTCCAACGGGTACGGTGTGAAGCCACTGGATGTGCTATCCGAAATTTGCGGAATGCTCGTGGAGGTTCTACGTAATATCAATACCATCTTTCAGCGAATCAGTTAGAGTTATGCTCCTTCAGTGTCATCATTGCTGATTCTGATCGCCCTCGGGTACACACTTCTGCACAGTAAACTTGGAGATCTCGACGTGGTTATTCCCATAGTGTTTATCATCGGAGTAGGCCGCCCCTGATTGGGAGCTGGGATCGATTGTGTTGTCACGCAGGTTGTTCATGTTCTTCTTGTTGGCTTCGGCAAAATCAAGGATGATGCTTCTTATAAGTTCTATGAAAATGAAGGTACTACATCTTTGACGACTATAACGTGTCGAAGTGTTCCTCGAACCTTCGTAGGAGTAATTGTTGTCACCCAGGTGTTGTTGGTTATATACTGGTAGTCATCCGCCTATTACTTGCGGTGTGGTTCCTATGGGCTGTTAACGAAACTAGGAAGGAAGCAGGTGAGTGGTGTCACAGTCACCGCTTGATGCAGTCGGCTATGTAGAGCATTGTGTAACTCGCTTGGGGATCTCGGAAGGTTCGCTACTGTACTCTAGTTTGCGGTGGTGTTGGCATTTCCCACAATACTCCGTTAGGTGGGCTGGGCTTGCGCAGATCGAAATTGTATTTTTATCATGATTCCAACTGAGCACACTAGAGGGTAGCATTCGTTGATAGTAGGTTGTTATTAGGTATGAAACTTCGATACTTCCTGGCAAAATTTGCCGGCCTCGGGATGGTCTACTTCTTCTCCTACCCAGTGCTGTTCGTCATCACCGGGTTTTTCGCGCCTTATTATCGACAAAAGGTGATGTCGGATATCATCGCCACTTGGGCGTGCGTGTGGACCCGGGGTCTTGCGTGGGTTCAATTCCCACAGGTGTCATTTTTCGCTTGATACACTGTGGGTCACAGTTGATGTGGACGTTGAATCTCAGGTGATGCTGCTTGGTTGGTTTGCCATCAAGTACGGGGTCTTTGCGTGGATGACGAGTATGTTCCTCACCCGAGGTGATTACTTCCAAGTCTCTACACTCAACTCAAGCTTCCTTCCCGGTGGAGTCAGGCCTGGTACGATCTGTTGTTGACTTCCGTGTGGGTTCCCATTCTTGTTCGTTCTGTAATCGTCCATATTTATTGTGAAGTTGTTACTGTCGGAATTTCTCGCACCGGTGTAAACGCTCCTTCCATAGAGCCTTCGTTCACAATCTAGAAGATTCCAATAATGTGACTTCTATTGGGCGTTGGGACCGCACGACTCATCAGTGGTCTGAGGTCATGCCAGAGTTGTTTCGGATGGTGATTTAATCTTTTGGGAATTTTTGTTGTTGTTTTCGTCAGGACTTGACAAGGAAGAGTAAGCAGTGTGCTTCGCTCCGCTAAGTTGATGACAATATTACAATTGTACAAGATAGTCGCTATGCTCCTTGCTATACTGAGTGTTCGAGATGATTTACTAAGTTGACGACTTGTCGTTCCACATACTACCAACGCTACTCACCGTTTACCTCTTGAGGATCTCCTCATGCCCTCCTTGACTTGACCGTCTCCATCAGCGATAGGCGTTCGCGGTGAGTCCTGCTTATTATCGCGTGGATGGAGTTAGTGACAGTCCCAAGTTGATAGACAGTGTTGTACCTCGAGTGTGTGTAGCAATGACTGGGACTTGCGTTACAGTTACTAACGTACGGCAATTCTAGATGGTGTCAGTGTGCTGGTTGTAGTAGGAGCATGTTCTAATGATGTACGCCTTCGGCCTACCCCCTCCGAGTCAGACTGTGCTGGCCGGCAATGTGGTTGGTCGCCATTTGTCGTCATCATCATCATCGACCGTTCCTGTGGTGCAAGTCGTATGGATAGACAGGAACGCTTTTAAGCCCAACAGACCTGTGAGTGGCTGAGTGATGGTCGAGCGCATCCTTATTCAGACCTATGAATTCGAAGCTGTAGCTTCTGTTACTCGTCTGAAACGTTTCAAAACAGCCGCCGCCTGTGTGAAGTGGCTGAATGATAGGCAGAAGTAGGACCCCATTCAACGCCATCGTGGGAGCTCTTCTCATAGGCGTGCCAGTTGCAACAAACCAGCTGTAGAGCGAAGTCCGAAGTATGCACCAAATTCAACGTCAAAGTGAGCGAGTTTATGCCATGATTTGCTACGTGTCCGTTCAGATCTTGTTGTGATGGTAAGAGTCCATCATTAAATGTCATTATGTCTACAACTCCTACTAGCACTCATTCCCGAGGCGTGAGTTGCAAGAGCAGCTCTATCGCTACTGCCTGTAGACGCTCTAATAGCGGATCCTATCCTGCTCTAGTGTGCAGAGCAGTACCTATGGGCGAAGTACCTCTAGCCGAGGACGATCCATCGAGACGTGTGGACTTGAGGCGAGCGGTCGATGTCAGTGGTGAGGTTAAGGGGGAGTCCTTGCAGGTTAGTAGTGTCCGGTCGAGAAGCGAAGTTGTTGTTGAGCTGCTTGTCGGTAGAAGGGTCCGAAGATGGTAACTGTGTAGCACTGTACATGTTAAAGGATCGTTTTCAGAAGCAATTGCCGCTGGGGAATCTGTATTCAATCGTCGTTGTATAGTCCCACCTAAGCCTTTCCGGTCTATTGAGGTTAGTGGCCCGACGGTTGCAAGTACGAGGAGTCGTTCTGTTCCAGGTTTATGTTTACCATCGATGTGCTTTTGAGAAGCCTCGCAACGTAGACGATGCTGAGCTAGCAGCACATGAACTTGTTGTTGAAGTAAGTCTCAGCAGGACCGAGGAGGTTGGAGGGAATCTCAGATCTTCCCGACATTAGAGCAAGCTGTTTCCATGGGCGTGATGAACCCAGGCTCTCTGCCAAGCGCTGGCAGCTCCACTGAAGTCTCAGAGGTCAGCAGGAGAATGGACCGCCGAGGCCTTCCTCTCAACAGTGTCTCAGACATCGTCTCCCGGGCGCAGTGCATCTGAGGATACGTTGAGCTGCTACAGCATCGGTGGTGGCGACATAGCCCTGGCCCCGATGGGCTTCCCGCCACCATCGGCATACGTCATTGCAGACCTCCCACCGCACTATACGTGAGGCTACTCTGACGGGGTCTCTGTTGGAGGTAGTGTTCGTTCAGATGGCCCCCTCTACTGGTACCGTGTGTACTGCCAACGAGCCTCCCAGCACCGCCTGCTGTAGCGATGCAATTCTACAGTCCCTCACAGGGGACGCCTGCCCCTGGGAATGCAGCAGCAGCAGTACCAATTCCAACCCACGATAATGTGTATTACACAGACCCTTTTGGAGGCCCTCAAGCTAGTAGCAATCGGGTCTCTATGGGTATGAGCCCCCTTGCGATCTACCAGTACCTCACTAATCTGCGGAAGCAGGAGAGCGGCGCTTGCGAGCGGGCTGATCGGCTGGGATTGGAGGCTCTCCCGAGGGATGGTAATAGCGAGAAGTAATTCAAGCAGCCCATGGTAGCAGTGGAACATTTGCGGGAATACCTGAGTGTTGCGTTGGTGGGATGGTGGTGGATGAGCTTTCATTCAACAACGGGACATCACGTACATCACTGAATTCCTTCGCTGCATGCCGTAGTTGAGCCCGATTGGAGTTGACCTCTGGTGGAGTTGACTTACTGACGTCTGCTGAATGTACCCCGAAGCCTTACGGGGAGGAGGCCACATGGTCTGAGCCATCTTTGGGACCTCTTATTACGACCTGTTCAGCATCTTTATCTGGGTATCGCTTGCTACAGTTCCTGGCACGGTGATGCCCTCGAATTTGATGATAGTGCGCCATAGCGTTATGGAGGATTTCAAGCCGGAATTGGCCTCGAGGTCCGACACTTGTTCGTAACAAACCGCTCTGATATGGCGTCTGAGTGTCATGTACCCGTCACTGATCGTCGCAACGGTTTCCCGCTGATCGATTGGTCTCAGCGCAACAATGTAGTGATGGAGCGACAGTACTTGATGGCGATCATGAGAATCCGAAACGGTTGCGGTTTTCTGGAAAGGTATGTAGGCGCGGTCGCTGTGTTGTTACTAACAGAATATGTATCATCTCGGTCATGCGAATTACATAATATGATGAACTGTGCGTAGCAGCCTGGCACCAAATGGGGCGTTCTGGTCTTGAACCTACCTGAACTCATCGCCATCCGTGTACACGTTTCTTTGAATCTGTGTAAGCGGAAAGATAAGTTTGGTCCCAGCCTTTACTGGCTTTTCAGCCACTTTGCAGTCAGCTAGGGCTCTAACTAGCTTCATCCTCGATCAGATCCTCTGCAGGCTCGGTGGTTGTAATCGCAGACTCTTAGTTTGACATATGACGCTGCGATAGCTTGCCTTTTCAGATAGCTCAATGAATGCAAGCGATTGTGATGCAACGTTGGCGCAGGAAGGTAAGAGGAGCGGCACAGCTTTCCACCGTAAGCCCCTGGTTGATGAGAGTTTTGTCCTTACAGATCGGCTCCAGCCAGTAGCGTTTATGAATCCTCGAGAGATTCTATTAGCTATGCCTCACCAGCTCTTCCTCTGCCACCAGGACTTTTCTGGGAGATCGACATTGGCAGCCCCTGCAGCCCTCTGAATGCGATCCTATCGAGATCACTCGAGTGCATAGAGCATTTTGAGGTGAGATTCCCAAGATAGTCTGAGGCCCTCTTACACGTTCCATCAAGTATACCCAGCTCATATTTGGAAAACATCATTCCCTGACATTCTCCGATCGTGGACCTCATTTCCTCCTGCGGGAATGGTATTTACAGGATGTGCTATCACTTGCCGCAAGTGATAGCATGCTTTGTCGCACTACTAGTATGCAAGTGACTTGCTTGTACTGTGTGAAGCGAATATCAGTTGGATTACCTCTCCATTATACCCAATCCATGGTGGAACACTCTTCAATTTTCTCCGCAGTCGCAGAATATGTGCCTCGTAGCAGAAGATGGGCAATCTACCTGACCATCACTTGTGACTGCGATTGCACCATGGGTGCTCGCACATTTCACTGGATGTGAATCGTCTAAATTCGTATCCTCAAAACTCCGCACCTCTGTGCCCAACGCCCTCCAGCCTCGATCTTACTGATGTCCTTCTCTCAGTGGAGTTGATGCTAAGGAGGGGCTTACCTCCTTCTTAAAAATGATATCCCCTGGGGGACCTCCAGTGGGCGTACAATGACAGCCTCGGCTCAACCTGTTTACATAGCAATGCACCGTGCATTGCTGATGCCGGTGCGATCTTCAGCGCATCCCACGTCAGCCGCCTCATAAGAGCATGGAGCTGAATACAATTCCTCTCAACTCACTCTTCTCCCACAGCGGTGTCCCAGCTAGAAGCGCCGAACTTCAGACCAGGGGTCATCACTGAATTACAGACCCAACGATTCTGGTGGAGCACAAGTCCCGGTGGCGCTTCACGAGAGAACGCGATCTCTTGGCAAGTTTGCATATCCGGGCTATGTTCTCAGTAACGTGGGTGTTCCAGATCAGTTTTTGGTCGAGCCATAGGCTTTGGAACGTGATGCACTCCTTGACCGATCCTGTTGGCGCAGCGTGCCTCCCGTTGCGCAGATCTGGATGGGAGCGATTACCCCAGCCGTAACGGCTGAGCCGTCCATTCATATCCCATCTTTCTTCTCCGTGAGAATTAGATCTACAGACATAGCCCAGACACACGTTACTTACCATACTCAATGGGACTTGGGCTACTCGGCGTGCTCGTGTGGGAATACGGCGGAATTGAGCAGTTCCCATATATAGTACTTGTGGAGAACGCTTATATGTTTTGTGCTGAATGAATTGGCACCAGAGACTCCGATGCCCCCTTCGATGTGCTTTAGGGGATTCTCTCTCAGCCGGATTCCCATCTCACTATAGAGGTATAGAGTTAGCGCAACTGGATTGAAATACGACGGAATAGTTCAATAAGATTGGTAGTGCGAAGTATCATTTGTACGACTACTCGAGGTAGTCTCTTGAAACATTGAGAGGATAAACCTCTGAGGAATCCTCAAAGGGGTACATTTTATTTACCATCGCTAACCATGCGAGCCGTGAACGTAATATGATGGTAAAAGTCGTTAAACGGAACGGTAGAACAAATTGATAGGATAATCATCTGGGAATATAGTCAGAGTTGATGAGAATTTCGATGAGCGACATACCGCGTCCGATGAAAAGTTATAAAAATTACGGAGTAAGAGTGCGATGATGGTAACAACCTCTTTAACAGCCAAATACCGTCCGGGGCACTGCCTCGGTCCGAAGCCGAATCCTACAAATTCGGTACGTAACTTCTCGTCTATCGAATGAGCACCGGGAACCAACCAGCGTTCCGGTCTGACAAAAGACGTATGTTTTGGCATCCTGCGGGTCACGCGGGAAATCAATCAGTGGTTAAGTGGCTCAATCAATTGATGTGTATCAATAGGGAGCATATCACGCAGCGAGCGAATAAACACAAACACGGAGCATCCCATGCTCAGCATGGCAACAAATGGGGCGTTCTGGTCTTTAACCTACCTGAACTCATCGCCATCCGTGTACACTTTCCTTTGAATCTGTGTAAGCGGGAAGATAAGTTTGGTCCCAGCCTTCACTGGCTTTCCAGCCACTTTGCAGTCAACTAGGGCTCTAACTAGCTCCATTGGTGGAGAGGGATTGAGCTGAAGTGGAGTGAACCATTCTTATTTACAGCTTCGCTTCTACTAACTTGAGAGTACTCTAATCGTTTCCATCAAACAAGCCTCAATATAAGGCATATCATAGACAGAATGAGCTGACAGTTCTCGGATGGAAGTTGCTTCAGCCCTTGCCCTCGTCTGAATCTCGGGGAACTTGCAAAAGTACTGCATGAGACGCACGATGGCGCTAGCAGCAGTCTCTCCTCCTGCTCCCAGATACCTGACCAACAGAAACTAAGACGAGAGCTTCCCGCGAACTTCCCGTGAAATTTCAGTATCACTGCTTTCCAGCTACCCATTGGTGATACTATCGAAGTATAGCCCGAACTGCATTCTTTGATTTTTATGTTTGCGGATGAATAGTATTATGCTGTAGTGAAACACTGTCACATGATAAGGTTATGTGAGAGCTCAGTTTCGTTCAACTGGCCGGCTGAGCTGCGAGGAACACTCTTCGGTAGGTCAGAATCTCTTGGTGCCGCTTTCTTGTTTCTGCGAATGTCCTCCAAGAGTTTAGAGTTGATACCTCTCCATTTACGGGCGGACTGAAATGGACGGCTCACACTCGGTCCGGGTGAGGAGACCTCCGCGATACCTCTCTAACTCCTGGGAATAGGAGTCGATAGATCAGCCGATCGTGATAAAGAATACGGCTAGGCTTCAGGCTGATAGAGAATATGTGCATTATCAACTCTCTGACTTCGCCTTGGACATTATGAGAGAACAATGCATCTGTGGAGAATACCAGCAGAATCAGCAGCAGCAACGTCTCACATTCCGAGCTGAGGGGATCTGTCTCTCCCATATATACGGCAGCAGCTACTCTCATACCAAGCAGCTGTACATCATTCACTGGCTTCCATGTAATCACCCCCTTCTCGTCAGCCAGCTGTTTGAGCTTACCAACCTATTGACCACAGCGTGAACCTTGGGTGGGAATAGTCCTGAACCCACCATATCTTCGCCAAGGCGGATGATCATAGGGACGAGCTTATCCAAATTGGTTTCGGCCAGCGGGCGTGATGCCGCCCTCCGATGCCTTTTCCACGTATCGCCCTCACTCATGGCCATACTCACAGAGTCCATGTAGTTTACGAAGTCGATCCCACTGAACTGACTCGGCCGCTGTCTCATAACCTCTCGGTATATCCTTATGTCAGACACAACCAGGATTTGGTTAGTGGGCGTTCTGAACGGAGGCGTAAAGCTTCAGTCTATTCACAAGTTACCCCACCTCAAGCAACATATGTCACCGAACGTCTTCGATAGCGTGATCATCTCTCTGAATTGGTCTTCTGCCGATTTGAAAGCGAGCTGGACGATGAAGCCAATCTGAGATAATTAAGAGTGGGCTGGCATAGTTCCTATCGGTGATGCTGTGGTAAACCAGTCGAGGTCCCCGTCTCCGGAATGTTACCAGATATCATCTACCTTACCCCTGGTCCGGGAAAAATGGGCCTCCCAAATATATTCCTGATGAATCTGAGCAGCTTGACTCCAACCACTCCGGCCGCAGCAGCTATAATGAATGTAGATAATGTTGTGAATGCTGAGTTGTGTGCCTGTAGAAATCTACACTGCGATGAAATCTGTGCACGTAGATAATCTAGCATGTTTTAACTGGAGTCCCAACCTGCTTAGCACACGTATGACAATTTGATGGCCAACGCCGGCGGTTTGTCTCAGTTAGGACGGGTCCCGTCCGACGGTAATCCTGTCAGGGGATCAGGAACAGCCCGAGTACTAAGCCAGGAAAGTTGCTCAATGCTCAGCACGTGCCTTCAATGTGTATGGTGTCGCATTATCAGCGTGTGCGTCAGAAACTGCGTCTGTGCGTGACACACGCCGGCCGGAGTGAGGAGTACCATTTAGGTACGGAGTTGATGTAGCCCAGCTGCTGGGCTACATCATTGGTCATTGTGCGAATTTCTCGTACATTTTCGACTGTGCGGCCTGACTGTGGTCGGCACAGTGTGCCAAATAGACCGATAGTCAGTGTGTTGTGGGCGTGTCAGTGACAAGAGTGACACGGTGTCACGCTTGGCGTGGAAGTCTCAGCTTGGAACTTCTCAACGTAGCTCACGTTTATATGCAACACACGATTCCTTTCCGGAGCGTTCGTAGATTCTTTCGAGGAATCCTCGACGAGGATTACTGTTGGCGCTCTTGTCAACCTTGTCGGCAAAAGCTGAAGTGTTATCTGATATCTGTAAATACCTTCGAAATCATGCTGCCAGAGTCACGAGCTTCAACTACCCGATCACTGCTTGAAGTATGTCCGTTCACAAACTATTTGCGGTTCAATTGTGCTAAGTGACGTTGTCTCCTAACTGGTGGAGTTGATTTAGAAAGTTGGTGTTTAGCACTGTGGTGCTGGATGCCTGCAACATGTCCTCGACCCACCCATCCTGGCCTTGGGGATCGGTCAACTACCGTTCGCGAAACAATAGTCGTTCAAAAAACCGCGATTGAAGATCAGATAAAACCAACCGGTGACAGTTGAAATCAACCTAAGTCAGGTTACCTGACGGATAAGTTGAGAAGAGAGCGAGATAGTTGGAAAATGGAACCGACGAGTGGAAATTATACTTGAACTTCGAAACGCTACAGGGTTGATAAAGTTTCCGATCTTGCGGAGAACAACTCTGAATCCCCTCGGAGTAGACCCCTCTGGAGCATCAGAATCCCCTATGGCAGACCCCTCTGATGTCTCTGCAATCTCGCGGATGAAGTGGTCAAACTTTCAATCGTCTATTGATAGCTCAAGAGAAAAAGGGGGCTCGAAACGCCTTAATGAATGCCGTTCAGGACCGGTGACTTACTTGATCAATCAGGTTTCCGGCTGAGGTTTTGTACTATGTGTTTGCTGAGCCGTGCTTGAGGTTCTGTGCCGTGTGCGGAGGATCGCCTAATCCCATTGCCACGCACATGCTCTGTCGCCCAGAATTACCCAGACGTTAGAGGGGACGTCTTCGTGCAGCTCCTCTCGATCATCGAGAACCAACAAAGTCATCGAGACTTAATGAGTTTGTTGGTATGTGTTCTTCGTGGCCAAGGACAGCGGAGTCCCACTAACTTACTCTTTCGACGCCACATTGCTCAGTGTAGTCTGCATCAATCACAACATTGCATGGGAAACTCGCACAACCGTGGAGTTTCGATGGAGGGAGTTCCGCTGATCACTCAAGTGTCCTCGAAGGTACTACCCCAGAGCTGGTCTCGGGTCCCATCAATAGGCTCGGAGGCTCCGAGTCGGAGCTGTCACGTCTGACTGCCGAGTAATTATCGCTGATGTCCGATCAGATCCCAGAATGATGTCCTGATTAAAATGCTCCCTATAGTGAGCTGTCTATGTTCGTCAATTAGTTTTCAGTTTCTGTTATAGCTACAATGTGAAGCTCACAATGAGCCACGTCGTGGATTGCGCGTTCCATGCTATGCGTCGGATCAGTGGAACCCTCACAGTCTGAGAACCGCAGCAAGTGAAACTTAGGGGGACGTTGATAGCAGCAGGGCGGCTACTATCCGAAGGGTATTTACCTCTTACCATGGAGTTTGGAATACCAGCTTGGTGGTGTGATAGCGATACATCTCTAAAACTTGCATGTCAGGCTATCACTTCCGGTAATGGCAAACACCCTCAGGCGCCAAAGTCTTGCTAATGCGTTGGTCCCAGCATAATAATGTAGTGGAGAGATTCCATTTGTCTGAAGTTTTTGCTGTAGTACATCAGTCATGGCGAACACGTCGTGATCATCAAGAGAATCCGAAACGGTTGCGGTTTTCCGGATGATATGTGGGCGCGGTCGCTATGACGTCACTCACGGTATCTGTTCTTATCCGAACACGTGCAAATCGCTAGTAATGGTGCTCTGTAGGTTGTATCATATCTTTGTGGTTGCGCTGGTTACATAACTGCATGCTATCGCGAGTTCTATAGAAAGTAGCTGCAATGATGTCCCTCGAATACTTCACCGTCCTCATCGTCATGTGCGAGTTCTGCTACGCTTGTAAGTTGCGGGCCGCAGATCCAGGCGATCAGATCCTCTGCAGACTCGATGGGGGTAATCAGAGTGTGACACACGACACTGCGGTAGCTTGCCTTTTCAGACAGCTCGATAAATGCAAGCAATTGTGATGCAATGAAGGCACAGGGAGGTCAGAGGAGCGGCACAGTTTTCCACCGTAAGCCCCTGGTTGACGAGAGTTTCGCCCTTACAGATCGGCTCCAGCCAGTAGCGTTTACGAATCCTCGAGAGATTCTACTAACTATGCCTCAGCAGCTCCTCCATCGTCCATCAGGACTTTTCTGGAAGATCGACATTGGCAGCCCCTGCAGCCCTCTGGATGTGACGTTGTCGAGATCACTCGGGTGCGAGGGACATTTCGAGGTGAGATTCTCACGGTATTTCGGGACTCTTATATTATATACGTTATATAATCAGCGTATACTCAGAAAATACCCCCCTCCCCCCGATCGTGGTCATTATTTCCTCATGCGAGGGTGCTATCACTTGCGTGTATTGTGTAGGAGCGAATATCAGACGAATCCGACGTCATCATGGAGACCGTGAATGAGGTAGTCAGCTACCGGATTCCTCAAGGTACTTAAGGACGTCCAACTTCGCAGTCTGAGTGGTGCTTGCAGATCATGGTAAAGAGATAACCAAGCAATATTATGTATGCATCGAGTCTAATGGGACTCGTAAAGCCGTAAGGTTGACGATAGAAATTCATATCATGTTGCGTCTGGTGGTCTGTTCAATGAGCTCATCAGATATCACGTATGACAAAAGTTATCTTTGTCGGCCCACCAGTGCCCCTCGATCAGCAGACGTCTGAGGCTTGCATGGTTGCGTTTGAAGAGAGACGCATGTCGCCCCTTGATATCGGAAGCTGGAGAGTTACCCACAGGGGGTTCAATTACAAACACAAGTGAGCCGCATTGTTGAAGCATGTTCCGGTTGTGAGACCCCGTTCGTTGACATAGTAAAGCTTCATTGTGTCAGTGGTCTCTCTGGCTTCTGCACTGGGGTCTACTATGGACATCACGAAGATGACAGCTCGCTGTAGGTAGAGGAGAGGCCGTTGGGGTCCACCCTGCTGATGCTCGCATACATGAACCGCCCGACTACGCGGCTTCAACGGGCTTCGTCTAGGAGCTTAGGCTTACTCCGTTCAAACCAACGTCTTCCTCTTTTGTATTTCAGCTATGATCCCCTGCCGCGATCGACTCCTTCGAAACCTTCGAAGCTCGATTCGAAACTTTCTTTCGAATCGGAAGAAACCAATAAGGAGAGTTCTGCATTGCAGTACTTCGGCACTCTGGCTGGCATAGTATGTAGGGTTTCAGTGCTCGAGTCTGCTCCTTCATGGACACTTCTCTGCCCACTATCTCAGTATCGCTCGCCCTTCCACTTGTATATTGCCATTTGTTGGAAGCTCGGGACTGATTCTCATCTTCCGCGTTTGTGATTAGGTAGTGTTTCTGGAGATATTAAAACGTCTAGCTTTGGCATGGGCAGCCAGATTACAACGAATACATGATATAAAGATGGAATGAGTATGTGTCGTCGTCAATGATTGTTTGATGTTGTGTTTCGGGATCTACTCGGATCATCCGAGTCGGATGGTAACGGTCGCCTGAGTATGTGCAAGTCTTGAGTCGAGAGTGAGCTCAACACGCTGTGTATCGTTGTGATTCCGGGTGTTATTATAAATTATAGCTCGTAATCGTCATCACATAACATGATGCTGGCTGAAGCGCTCGATAGGTTGACAATCGGACCCTCAAGCTCTCAAAACTTAATGCACTTATTGTAGTACTCATGAAACACCATTCCGGTGTTTCATGAGTACTAGGGTACGGCTCTTAAAAAAATCAATCGTGTTCTACGATTTTTTCGGTCATCCCTCATAGCTCCCATCATACTTGCCGATGAGGAAAGCAGTCGCGATGTCTAGGGCCAGCAGAACAGACCTCACCCGGATGTCGATCGCTATTCCGTCAAGCTCAAGGATGGATTTAGATGTGACTAACATCTGAATCCGGCCGTGGTCTCACATGATGTGAGAACATGGCGCATCATTGAAGCGAGTAGGCAAACGCGACTGTTCGCAGGAGAAACTTCCGTGGTTGCGAGTAGTCCGAGTCAGTAACGTTCGAGTACAAAAGATTGAAGCCTACGAGACCGTGGCGAGACCTGTTTTTCCCAGACCCGAGAGGAAGAGCCTCTCCACTCAACCACACAACACACTCATTCTCTCGCTAACCACCTACGTTCATCGCTGATACGCATCATGCCACTCTGCGAGGCGAAATTTGACGCGTATTCGTTATTCGTCGTCATTGTTCGGAAAACCTGGATGTGTCGACGACGTCATGTTATGTAAAAGGAGTCGTGTCGTGAGGGTTGAGTTCTACAGCTGTTGAGCCGTTGCATTCCCGTGAACAATCCAGTCCGGCCGAAGATGATCAGATCAACTTTCTCTCATACCGGATCGGGAGCTCCTTCCGGATACCATTGCATTGGCCGTTTACTGATGTGACAGTGTTACTCTGACCATATTCAGTCGGAAGGTGCACAAGGACGCGGTGAATATGGATTGGTCCACTGCAGAATACAACACCAGCTTTTCGCCGAAACCAGTAATTTCCTAGTTTCTAGCAAGAAATGTCTCAACATACACACATGGCTATGCCTAGTGCCACCATCTGCTTTCAAATTTGCCTCGAATTTGCTCGTAAGCAGCTTCCTTTTCGTGGTAGTCTGACTGAGTTGCTTGCAGGAGCTATGCTACAGCGCAATGATGATCCCAATACGCCTTCAATCCAAGAGCTCTCGCTATTCATGTGGGTCCCCGTTGTTCTACGATGTCGCACAGTTGGAGGCTCTGAAGAAGGAAGAGAGTTCATCCACCATGACCGAAATCATATTCAGTGTTCCCCTCTACTGAATACTCACATCGTTGGAAGGCCTCGTAATTGAACACTGGTGGAGGCGTTGGGCGAGGAACCACTAGCTATAACATCGAGTCGCAATGCAACAGTTGAACGGGAGTCTACTTGCAGAATGATTCAACGAGGGTAATGTAGAGTCCTTACAAGCGTACAAAGCTGCATACAGAAACTGAGTAGAGTCCAATACATGGGTTAAGCTGAATCAGAAACTAAGATATTTAAATCCATCGTACCCCACCGGTAACTCAGGGTGTGTGCCCCAAATGTTTGGTCGTTACTTTTTTAGCTCTGGGAGTATCGTCTATACCATGGGCCATGGCCCTTACTTAGGCTTGAAAGGCTCTGCTACCAATTGGAACTTCAACTTGAATGGATCTATGTGACCATGGCAGAATGGAGACTCGACTTGAGTTCAAACATCCACTACTAAATCGGCCACATCATCGACCTTCGTAGGCATCATGAACGTGACGCTAGTGCTCCCCAAAAAGTGTTCGTTCCCAGAGGACTCGAGTCGAGTCACTCAACATAGGCATCACATGAAATACAGACTGATAGCTTTCCCCCTAGTCCATAATCACTAACCAAACCTCTTCTGAATGGATCACACAGGCACATGGAACACTCGTGGTCGTCAAGGGGAGAATGGTATGGCAGGAGATGGCACGGTCGTCGCATTGTGACCCGCAAGCTTGCACCTACTGCGAAAGGAACGATTCACATAAGGAAGGCCCTCGAGACTGGCAGAGTCAACTTGTAGCACGAATGCCCTTACATTTCCGCCAATGTGGATCGAATTTTCTGTACGACCCGTGGAGGGCACTCTCTGGTCTTTTCCGAGTCGAACAGTGTCGCCAGTAGCGAACGAGATAGCGCTAATACCTCATAGGAACCAAGGAGGATCACAGAACTAAGATTGAGCGATACCTCGTCCTCATTGGCACGTAGGATAGCTACACACAGCGCTCCTTCAGCTACTTCACACTCCGACACAGCTCTCGCCAGCTCATTATTCGATGACTTTAGATCTACACATGCGCAAATGTCAACCACACCATGCGCAGAGTGTAAATATTTTCACTGAGCAGTCGATCTGTCTAGCTGTGTTCCCAGCGGCCGGTCAATCTGCTCATCCGTCTCTCCTCCTCGTCTTCTACTTGCTGTCCTTGCTTCAGCTTCTTGTAGCCTTTCGACCTCGGCCTTGGCCATGGCATAATCTACTATTGCTTCGAATAATTCTCTACCGTTAGTGTCATGACGTCGTTTCCTGTCCTGAGACGTGTGGAGATAACAATCCACTAACTGCCGAGACCAGTATCCGACTCAACCGCTTATTCGAGCATTCCTATCATTGGCGTAGCTACTTGACTCACTCCGTGTTGCTCTAGATCCTGGGCAACAAAGCTGAATGCATTCCGGGAGAAAGGGACTGTCGCTGGCCGCCCAGATGTGTGCAGCAAATCAACTAAATTGCTTGTGGCTCTCTTGAGGGAGTCACATTCCGCGTCTCTCCGTCGTATAACAGCCAAAGCATTGGAGAGCTTCTCCTGAAGCGACCTAAAAGGACGTCCACGTGAACAGAGTCGGAAGGTCTCGTGTCGTCACCGTGTGTGATCTGCAGTAGTTCGGCTCTGTTCAAGGGCGGCGAGGAGTTCCGATTTCCTACTCGTCATGTTTCCCAGCTTCCTGAAGACATCATGGAGGGCGAGAATAACTGAGTCGATCACTTCTTCGTTGCAGAAAGCTCATCGCGGAGACGTATGCACTCCTCTGATCTGCTCGCTAGAGCCTCCTGGAGCTCCTGAATGCCGTTTGTGGTCAGTGAGGGGGGCAGTCTTGTTTCCGTAGGGGCATTCGAATCAGTCGCTCACACGGGACTTTTGTCGGAGGATGGCCAACTCCTTCTCTGCTGTTGGGAGGCGATTGACAGCTGACCGGGCGCTTCGAACTTCATCGTGAGATGCCCTCAATTGCTCTCGTAGCACTAAGACCTGCATGAGCTATCGCTACATCACGACGAGGGAACGCGCATACTGCACCGCACTTCGGCCCTCTGCATGGACCCTTCAGCGAGGCTCGACCGAGCTCCTTCAAGTTCGCGTTGCAACGTATCTTTGAGTCGTGTCAAGGAGGCCATTCTGTCAACTAGGCGCGCCTTGGAAGTCTTCAGAGTCTCCAAGTGTCTGAGCTCACTGCAGCTCGCCGTGATGCGCGTCCGCTCACGAAGAGGCATCCGGGATCAGCAGTACTCAGGAGTTATCAGAACAGCGCCGGGTGCCTACCGCCGTGCTTGATCTCTTTCCTCAGTAAGCACAACTATGAGGTCTTCCTGTTCGAGAATGGTACTCTTATATCGACTGAATCAACATAGTGGGTCAGCGACACTAGAAATGCTGCTGTCATTCATCAGAGCCATTGGAAGTAATGGAGCGAATCAAGTCTCCTCGGATAAGCCAATAGCTGTAACACCACTAAGTACCGCGAGTAGAGGAGGATCTTCCAGAGGATCACAGTCGTGGATTCCCTCACGACAGTTGATGTATTATACATCATGTATATCACAACGACGCAAACCGTTCGAGCTCTCACCCACATAGCTTGCAGGATTGACTGTACCCGCTCATTTCGTGCTCCTCCACTGGGGGACGCGGTCGCACTTCTAAGTAAAGACTAAGGAAACCCTCTTTGGGGAGGAACAGCACCTCTCAGCAAAGACTCCCGATGAACACAGTCAATTGTGGGTTCATCTGCTGTCCCTTTGGGAAACTGCAAGCTGGCGATTTCACGAGGCTAAGACTATCTAGTTATACCTCGACAGCTTCCAGCTCTTTTTTGTTACTTTCATTCCGTTCACAAGAATGCCTCGAGAATACGTGCTCACTCCCGACTGTGAGAACATCTATCTTTAACCGATGCTTGTGCACAGTCTCACCTTCACTTGGAGTACTGCTCTGGACAGGAGAGGTATCTTGACCTACTCCCGCCGGGGAGCCCTCAGTGACACTCGCCCGTCTCTCAGACGTATCAGATGGGCTGCTGCTCTTACATTCAGATGGCGTGGATGGTGGGCTTAGCGAGGTTATCGGGTCCTCGACGATTTCTACCTAAGTCGTACAATCCGAGCCGTCGCTGATCAGTGCATCATCGCCGGAATGACCTTCACATCACTATGTGGGATTCTTACGCTACGGGCAGTGGAGACGTACTATCACTATCGTAATGAAAGACTACACGAGGATCACACCGTACTTGGCTGACTCACCCCAGTGAATCCGGCGGTCGTGAAATCTCTTGGCGAGTCCAGATCATCTTCAGAAACACCCATGAACAATTCACAGAACTGAGATGTCATTGCCAGCGACACTCGCGGTATCAGCGCATGACTCCAGCGTGTCACCGTCGGCAGTGATGTGACTGTAAACTCAAGATGGCTGAGCCGTTCATAGTCGTGCTCATTGGACGCACATGTGAGCGCTTGCTCCACGGTGCATGAATTTCATGGTCATACGAGAGCATCAGGAGAATGCATTAGTGAGTATAATATACAGACGCTTTGCACTATATAGAAAGCATAGCCGCGGCCAAGATACACGACTGAATGGCTGCGGTGATTGTCGAGGGTGTGGTAGTATATTTATACCAGTCAGTGGTATGTACTATTAGATATACTGCAATATGTTCGACTGGGTGACCGGAGTCACTGCCACATCGGCGGGAAACGCCAAATACACGAAGAGACGCTGTCACATACCAATAAGCACTTATCTTCCGATATGGCTAGACCACGGATGGATGATGAAGCTTCGGGGAGTGAAATGCGCCAGGAATGAAGCTCTTGAAAATCGGTGGTGAAGATACGAATCGTGCCTGTGAGGCCATCCGAGACCATCACATGACCGGTGCCATCGCTGATGCACAATGATCGTGCATATATATCTTCGATGACGATCCTTCGGGAACCAGTAGCTGGACGTATCTCAACAACGCGCCGATTGAGAGTATCCGCAATTAGGAGCTGCTCTCCTTTTAGTCCGACCGCGATATCGCAAGGGTAGAGGAAATTACCCCAGTCAGCCACAATGTATCGCGAGGAGCTATCGATGAGATAGCATCTACCGCCCTTGGAAGTCACCACGGCGATTAGTGAGTCGTCGATCCATTTGGCGACGGACTGGCCTGTGGCTCCAAGGTTGAATATGCATTCACCATCGATTCTGATGATCCCGTCAGAGTGAGTACTGAGGACCCTGTGTGAAGCGTCGTGACTGAGAGCTGCGCTACCGACCGGTACGCCCGTCGAAGGGCACATCCATGCTCCATCGATGTGAGCGTGGCTTGAATCGCTTCCGCATATACTTAGTTTGGTGCCAACACAGTCGATGGCCCAAGGACGGAATGGCGATGAGGATGTGTAAGGCGTGGCAGGGATTTCTATTCGATGTGCCGCGGTTGTTTCGTAACCGTTGAAATGTGGCTCCAGGAAGGCAGCTACTATGCTGTGACACGGATGGATCTTACGGCCTATCTCATCTAGCCACATCAACCTGATGAACAGGCGTGGCTAATGTGGAAGATTTTATATATTTTCGGACAAGCCATCGTATGGCTGCCATACGATGGGAAATATCCAAAGCTCACCGTGTCAGTCGCAATCTATCACGGTAGGAATCAGGAGGTTCTTTTTCTTCCAGTGGGAGTTGGGGTGCATAATCGTCGTCCCCTACATACCTCACGACTGCTGATGGGCCCTTTTCTGATATACAAAACCTTTGGGCTTTCCAGCCTGTCTCTACCTAGACCGCAAAGCACACGAGAGATGGCCCTGTCTATGAGCTGTCAACGCCTACCTTCACAGTGTTCAGGTCATCAACTGCCGAGCACTGCACGGAATGACGAACGGGAAGCATGCAGCGAACCCGACTGACCCTATTAAATTCACTCCAACACAACAGTCATGAGCGTTGGAATGTATCGCGGCAATCAGCTCTTCCTCTATCGCCTGGCCGGAGGTGGATTCACGAGGATGATACCATCACCACGGACCTAAGGCAAAATCAGTCAAGGGCGTTGTTTCAAGAGCTCTCATTACGAATATAGTATCCAGATCCCGACGAATCGGCCTTCGATGCTTCACCTGAAGTAGATGCCAAGCTACAGAGCCATGGGAACCACTCGTGGACTCACCCCTTCCTTGACTGGCGGCTCGATGACCTCTTCTACTTCGCTTAGCACCATATTCAAATGGGAATCATAGGCGACCAAGCGACCCCTGAAAACATACAATAGCTCTATAAGAACGATTCAGACTCCGAATATCCTTGGAAATTCTGGCAAGGTGTGACCATCATCGACGAGAGGTATATCAGCTGAGGATCCACCAGCAAATGCATTAACTCTTCTCTCGAGGGAAGCGGCCAGGCTCGTTTCCACCGTTAAAGGCGGCTTAAGAAGTAACGCCATTCGATGTAGTTCGTGAGTAAGTGAACAGTCCATGGCGTTCCGATCGTATATCCCCTCAACACCATTGCTACCTGAGATAGCGGTCTCCTCGGCATTTGACCTGTATCCGCTCGTCGAGGGAGAGCTTGACGAGCTCGAACGGCTCGTCAATTTGGATAGACGACGACATTCGCGGGGAAACTTAACCCTAAATGCGTGAGCAGTGTTCCCTAATGATGTGAGCGTACGGGGGAAACGTTGTTCACTGTATGAGCACGATAGCGATGCCGCCCATAGTGGCGTGTGATTGTCTAACACAATACGCTCGAATAAGAGGGTAAAAGGCTGATTGTGACAAAACCCTTGTGAAATAGCCTTATCTTATTCAAGGAATCCTTACGTTAGGATTTCTAACTGTACAAGGCATCCTATGAAATAGGCCCATGGTTGTGAAGTGATGGCGTAGCGAGATTTACGTAGACTAGTTGACGAATTCGACAAATCGTGGGATCCCATTGTCAAATCGGAGTGGCGGCTAATTATCCTGCATGCTAAGCCTCAACAACCTCATCGATCCGGCCTCCCTCGAGTGCCTCAATGAGGACCCTAAGCATCCCGTTAAGAACCTCCTACAACCCAACACTTCGCTGTATTCAGAATAGCCCTTGCCTGATAGCTCCTCCTCATCTGCTGTTAGGTTCCTGCAGTCGGATCCGACGGTGGACCATCAGCTCTTGATACGGATGGAGTTCAGGCAGACGGTGAAGGTGCGAGCCATTAAGGTCGGGTTAAAGCGGCAAATGGTCGGCCTCAATCGATACTGATTTGGTGTAGATAAACTGCCAAGACGATGAAACATGTCCGTCCCTTATCAAGGTGTTCATCAATAGGCTGTCAATAGGCTTCCAGGATGCTGAAGGGGACGAACCAGTGCAGGTCATACCATACGGGGGTCGCCGTTTTCGGAGAAAATGGCGGTAGTCTAGGAAGGATATTTTCCAACTGCTATTGTTACTCTGCTGGTCGTAAGTGGTGAATGTCCTCAGGTCATACAACTGGATGACCCTTCGCAGTCGGCAGAGGCGTTCCAGTTGCGGATTGCTAAGTTCCAGAACGTTAAGAGTTTGCAGATTTTTGTCGAGGATAATTTCGGGTCGGACATGACGCGAATCAATCACATCGAGGTCTTCGGCGCTCTGGGAGAGAACACTGATATGAGTAGTAGTCATGGGCGTAGTCGTGGATGGCTCCAACGACATCACTACAGGTAAATTGGATAAGTCTGGAGGCTGACGAAGAAAGTAGAGGAGACACTGATCTCCTCCATGTTGGACGTGAGTGGCAGGGGGGGGATGGTCGTGGGTTCTATCCCTGGCGACTTCATTGGTCTTCAGTTGATCTCTGTAGGTATCATGCAGCAGCGAATGAAGGGTCGTCATGAAAGTTTTAACTTTGATGTTCCTGACCGTCTGTTTGCCAATCACCCATCACTTCATCATGATCACATTTATCACTATTCTCATGCGTTTGCGTTCTATTCCGGCAAATGGTTGGACAGTGCCTCCTCAGCTATCCCATGTTCGATCCATGGCCACCGTCACACCAGCCGATAGTAAACAGAGCGAGGAGGGCTCTCTGGAGGCACTGAATGTCCTTCTGTGCCTAACAGGATCAGTGGCTACTATCAAATGGGTGCCTCTCGTCCAGGCACTAACACAACAAGGAGCTGCGTTGAAAAAGCGAGTAGGAACAACGTGCCAGTGTGAATATGAGGCAAGCCGCACTAGGTTAAGGTCAAAGTGGTGGCCTCTGAGCGAGCCTTACACTTCATGTATTTGGACGGGAATACGGCAGATGTTGAAGTCTATACTGATGATACGGAGTGGAATGCTTGGCAGGGTAGTAGTGGCTGCATGAGCGGCCACATGGGAGTATCGATTTCAGGTCGGGGTGATCCAGTTACACATATCGATCTGCGTCGATGGGCGGACGTGGTTGTCATAGCACCGCTGTCGGCGAATAGTCTTGCTAAGATTGCCAATGGTATTGCGGACAATCTTCTTACTAGTGTTGTTCGGTAGGGACCTTAGTAGTAGTGGTGATAGGGCTCAGTAATGGTGAGTCGGGATAGGTGCCTTGATTTGAGTCCACAAGGCTTGTTGAAGTGCCCCGTGTACATCTGTCCGGCAATGAACACCATGATGTGGGATAACCCTTTCACTAGAGAACATCTCAAGGTAGTATTTTGCGGGGAGAGTCGCATACGCTCACACTTGGGACAACCTTGCCGAGTGCCATTGAGTTCATACCACTCCTTTCCCGATTCACATCAGGTATGTCTCTCGATGATGGGCTTCCGTTTGATAATGCCTATATCAAAAACCCTCGTGTGCGGCGACACAGGCTTAGGAGCAATGGCTGAACCTCGGGACATCGCAGCGGCAGTGCTTGAGGGTCGATCGGGCGATTCTCTGCCTCAGAGTTGGTCAGAAAACCATAGCCTGACGCCTGGGCTTGGTATTTCTCTCGCTGCGAATGCGGCCCTTTTGTGTCTGTTGTTGTATAGAATTCGATTTCAATGATGTCCCATTGTGTGGTTCCTTGTTGGGATAGAACCTGTGCGGGAATGGTACACGGGGGTTCATAGGGAGTTTTCGTCTCACCGCTCAATTGGCGTCCGTCGCCATCAGCAAGCACTCCTGTTGTGATGGGACGCAAGAACAAGCATTCGGAAGGCGGCTCGAAAATATTCCGTCCATTCTGTTATTACTGTGAAAGGGACTTCGACGACGAAAAGGTGAGAGCAATACCATAACATGTCAAGGGTGAATACCAAGTCGTCCTCAGGTTCTCATACAACATCAGAAAATCAAGCATTTCAAGTGCACTACATGCCAACGGAAACTTGATACGGGTAGTATGCCAGAACAGTAGAGGCCAGGGTGACCGACGAGGGATCCTTCTTTTCTGTTCAGCAAGCGGTCTGGTTGCTCACATGCTCCAAGTGCATCGAGAGACGCTGAATAAGTAGGGAACTGCGATGGTTTATGGGGTCATTGCTGCTCTTTTTTTCAGAGTACCAGGGGCGATAAAAGGGAGGGAAAATCCGGACTTGCAAGTTCGTGGCATGGAGGTAGATGCTATTACATCAGCCGCAGTAGCGAGTGATGATGATGTTTGCATTTTTAGAACGTTCCAATGGGTATGATACTTGATAGGGCGAAAGGATCGGACATGGAGAATTTCTACATGAGGAAGCACATGGAGTTGAAACATGATGCATTGTGAGTTATAGTCATCAACTGCAATCTCATATTTTGTCTACCGTAAGGCCGCCACCTCGTCCAGCTCCAGGGTTACCGTTCATGCCCGGGATGTTCATGCCCCCACCGCCTGGCCAGATGCTCATGGGCAACCCTCCGGGTACTATGAGGACTTGTATCCCTACAAGGCATGTGTGTGTTCTTACACAGGTGCTGGCCCTCGAGGACAGACCCCTCCTCCTGGGCTGCCGGGGTTGGGCATGCCACCGACCCCCCCGATGCCGCCGTTCTTCATACCGCAACCTGGTGGCCACCCGACATCCGCGTCCCCCTCCAATCAGCCCCCGCAACAGCAGCAGCAGCCTCCAATGGGTGTGCCGACCCCGCCCCCTTTCCCAGGCTTCCCTCCCCAACCCGCTGGTGCCTCGGCACCTGGCGTGGTTGCGGCCGCGGCTCCCATGAACTTCCCGCCTCCCCCTGCTATGATGTCGTCACCTCCACCAGTTGCGCATGATGATGATGCCCCAAAGCAATACGGCGATCAAGCCAGCAGCGCGGTGAGTGTATGGCCATAGTCAACTGAGTGATGTCTGTCGTTCAGGCAGCAGCAGCGGCTGCGGCAGCGGCGGCAGCAGCAGCGAAGTTGCAGGGAACAGTAAGGGTCGACCATCTCGATCGATTGGGTCCATTGAACAGTTCTTCACAATTCATCAATTCATAATCATAATTAGTTAGTTCATCGATAGTGGTGGTCTTCTCAGTTCTCTGGCCGATCACGAAGTCGCAGTAGAAGTCCTCGGAGGAACTATGCGGTATGACTACTACTTCCTTAGATCTGCTCATCCTCCTCTCAGACCTCTGATGAGGATCAGTCGTCGTCGTCGGCCCAAGGTGTCCGCCTGGTCCACGGTTCGGGCCATCTGGCTGGGATAACTCTGACCTCGTATCATGATGATCTTCAGAGGGGCGATCAAGTGTGCTTCGTAAGGCGCTGGGAGGGGCTGATCGATTGCTGGCATTGGTTGTTCTTTGTAGGAGGAGATGCGTGCTCACGCGATGCTGAGTGCGGCTGGGTAGGGATGGATGACATTGCGAGTATTAGAGGATATTTGATAATGTCGATGTCGTGGAAAAGAACCGCTTTCCGCTATTAACCCGAGTTTCTTGTTAATCCCTAGTCACAATAGGAACTCTGAATGATAGAATGATCCATGCGATGTTAAGGTAATTAGAATATAGAGCCGCTACCGCCAGCATATGTTCAGAATCATGGACCTCTCTTATCGAGATGTGGTCACGAATGGTCAGGACGAGGCTAGTGACCGCCTGTGCGTGTCGAATGAAGGACATGCTGTCCAAGCCCTGACGACATTTTTCAACACCGGATAACGGCACACCAGCGACCTGGAAACGCAGTAGATGGAATAGAGGGGGTTAACGGAGCTGATAGCCAACATCGAGCTTGATCAAGCAAAGCGTGTCGAAGAGCGCAGGTGCTGCATCGACTTAATTTCTTCATTTACCTACGCCATGGCCTCGGGCCTAGTTTTCTTTACTAACTCACACCAACAGTGGACACCCTATCTATATAAAGCGACTATCGATGACTTGATGATCTCATGCGTCAATCTCGCGACCAAGCGACTGCTCCTTGAGTAGACTAACTCTCCGTTCCTCGACACATCGCCAGGATACGACAAGTCAACAGCGCGCGTGACGATGGCAACACCGGTAGTCGATCAAAAGACAGACCTTACCACGATAGTCTTGAGGCTGACAACTTGATAAATTTCACCTGGATTCAGCTGCTTTAGCGAGAGTTGAAGAGAGGTTAGCTGAGTTACCTTCCCTCCCCCTTCCTCATTGCCCACATGCGTGGTAAGAACATAGGAACCTTCACTGTGATCATTGGTACACACTACTGCATTGAGCTGGAGCACTACGCCGACGCGTCGATCTACTCTATCGCATAAAGGCCTAACAGGGCTGAGTTTCACGTCATGAGCAAACTCAAAGTCATCAACAATTAACACGCTAGTGTAAATATTACCTGGGCCGTGTTATCGTCGACGAGAACGAATCAAGAGTAATATTAACGTGATACTTACCTGATTCCAACCGAGACTCTCCTCCTCCCAAATCTCCTCAAGCACAGAAACTTTATTCCTTCTCTTCTTATAAATGACTTAACACAACTCCATATTATTAATTCCCCCAAGCGAAAGGTCGTCTGATGCCGGCCAATGAACAGCATCACACCGCCACACAAACGTCGTTAAGTGATTTAAACGATAGTGGGGGCAGCGGAGGCAATCTTAGGCCAGAGCTCAGCGCACTCCTTGCCAACGGGACCAGTGATGGCAGAACCCTTCATCTCACCCTTCTCGTTGACAATAACACCGGCGTTGTCCTCGAAGTAGACGAAGACACCCTCACGACGGCGCCAGGCCTTACGCTGACGGATCACGACAGACTGAAGGACCTTCTTACCTACAACAGAAGCATAATAAGTTGGGGAGAGGCATTTGCAGAATATTACGAAGTTCGGGCTTTCCCTTCTTCACGGAGGACATGAGCATGTCTCCAAGACTGGCAGCAGGGAGTCGGTTAAGACGAGCACCGGTGCCCTTGACAGCGATGGTGTACAGATTCTTACCACCAGAGTTATCGGCACAGTTAAGGATAGCACCAGTGTTGAGACCAAGGGTGATGCGCATCTTAGCGCCTCCGGATCCGCGTCCTGACAACAAATAAACGTAAGAATGGGAGAATAATAGTAATGATCGGAGACTAATGTTATTGTCCTCAAAAATGACACTCACGAACAGGGACTAATCGAGCTACGAAGCAACCAAATATAAGAACTAGATTTCACGACTTCTATAAACTCATGATGCACTAAGCCGTCCACACTAACACATGTTGCATCAATATGCCACAATGGTAGCCTTGCCTACCCCATTCACCCCTATTACCTCTCTTCATTGTGTTGGGGGTTGATAGAGCTGACTCTCAGGGAGAGAAAATACAGGATCGATCAAGCTGTCGGCGAGCGAGATATTTATTATTTATCGCGCACGCCAAGTTGATCTATTTCACCACTTGCGGACAGCGGCAACCTTAAATCTTGGGTTTAGAAGGTGGACTACTTACCCAACCCTTATGCTTCGGGGAGTGTATTGCACGAGCTAATTTTGTGGCGCGTGACGTTCCGGGACTGGGTCAACTTACGGCAGAGTTCAAGAACTGATACTGATAATTCCAATTCGAAGTCCGATCCTATTTCCATTGTGATTTGCACAAGGAGCCTATTAGGCATACGGTCTGGACTCGTTGAGTGTCGTTTTGTCGGATTAGTTTCCCCCCTCTCCTTCCTGTTTCTTTTTCCTCTCTATCACCATGGTCAATAAGCGAGAGGCCGAACGTAAAAAATTAGCCAAGCAAAAGGCTGTGGAGAAACGACGGGGATACAAGTCCAGTAAAAGCGACGAAGAGGTGAGGCAAAAACCACACACTCTGGAAGGAGTCTAATCGAACCCTTGCGGAATTCACCGTTGAAGACTTGCAAATGCTCGTTAGAAATGATGTTTGTTGTTTTAGTCTGTGGACACCAAGGCCGAGCTTGAGAAGCAGATCCACGATACCAGCGCCATGGAGAAGCCGGAGATTCTGCAGCATGCTACTATTACTGGTCATCGCACGTCACAGTATCTGGCAAAGGACATCAAGATTGAGCAGTTCAGTATGATAATAGAAGGCAAGGAGTACATTAAGGATACCACTCTGGAGCTCAACATGGGTCGAAGATACGGTATGATTGGTCTCAATGGTAGCGGCAAGAGTACCATCCTGCAGGCGTTGGCCGCTCGCTTGGTGAGTGCATCGAGCAACACCTTCAACAGTAGTCATTTGAATTATTGTTGCTTTAGGTTGACATTCCGGACTATGTCGATATATGGCTTCTACATGAAGAGTATCCCCCTTCTGAGCAGACCGCTCTCGAGGCCGTCATTAGCTATGTCGCCACCGAGCAAAAGAGGCTCGAGGCACTTATGATGGACATCATGGAAAACCACCCTGAGAACATCGACTTGGTCGAGCAGATCGGTTTCCGTCTGGACGAGCTCGATCCCCAAACCTTCGAGATTCGGGCTAGGGAGCTCCTCACTGGTCTCGGCTTCAAAGAGGATATGGTCCAGAAGAAGACGAAAGATATGAGTGGTGGTTGGAGGATGCGAGTAGCGCTCGCCCAGGCTTTGTTCGTCAAGCCTACTTTGCTGTTGCTTGATGAGCCTACCAATCATCTGGATTTGGAGGCGTGTATTTGGTTGGAGAACTACTTGTCCAAGTACGAGAAGATTCTCGTCGTCGTATCGCACTCGCAAGATTTCCTTAACGGTGTGTGCACCAATATCTGGCACTTGACTTGCCAGGGTACCTTTGAGTACTACAGTGGTAATTATGATACCTTCGTGCGCACGCGTGCTGAGAATGAGGCCAATCAGCTGATGAAGTGGAGGAAGGAGCAAGACGATATCAAGCACTTGAAGCAGTTCATCGCTACCAGTGGTGGTATGGAGAAGGCCGTCCGTCAGGCTCAGTCCAAGCAGAAAATCATAGACAAGATGGTTGAGGCTGGCCTCACTGAGAAGCCCGTTCCGGATCCGGTCTATTCCTTCCGTTTCCCTGAGTGCGATAGGCTACCTCCCCCGGTGTGTTCCTTCAACGATGTCACTTTCGCCTACAGTGGCAAGGTGAAGGATATCCTGTATCAGCACATTAGCTTTGGTATCGACCTGGACTCAAGAGTTGCCCTTGTTGGTCCCAATGGTGCGGGCAAGACAACTTTGTTGAAGTTGATGGAGGGCAAGTTGGAGCCCAACCTGGGGACTATCTCTCGTCATGCTCACTTGCGATGGGGTAGGTTCAACCAGCATTCGACTGACCAGCTAGATCTCACCAAGTCGCCTTTGGAATTCATGCGCGAGAAGTTCGCCAATGGTCTCGCCACTGTGGACGGCACGAAGGTCCTCGGAGTAGAAGAATGGCGGTCGAAACTGGGCCAATTTGGTATCATTGGTCAGTGGCAAACTCAGCCTATGGAGACCATGAGTCATGGTTTCCAGGCTAGAGTAGCCTTCTGCTTGGTCGCTCTGGCTAACCCACATGTTCTCCTATTGGATGAGCCTACGAATCATTTAGATATGTCCTGTATCGACTCTCTTGCCAAGGCCATCAACAACTACAATGGTGGTCTCGTGCTTGTTAGTCATGACTTCCGTCTGATCTCTCAAGTGGCCAAGGAGATCTGGGTCGTGGATCACGGTGTGAGTAGGTGGGACGGTAGCATTGAGGATTACAAGAAGTCCTTGACGAAGCAAGTGTTACGGTCTGGTCATCGCAAGAGAGCTCCCCAGGTGGCCAGTACGAACTAGTTGTATGTCGCCTCTTGTATTAATGGCAGTAGTCATGCCACTACTGCCACTGTAATATACCACTTGGATATCACACTGCATGTCTACGTCATCAACTCAATTTCGACATGTTCTGTTGTGGTATTTTGTATAATCATAGGTCTAGTATGTATCTTCTCTAGCATACCGGCCTTGGTTTACAACCGTTACTACTCACTGTCATCTCTTACCGAGGCTCTCGTCGGCTCGTCTACGGGTTCTGATCCGATCGGCTATGCCATGATTCGGATTAGTGGCCGGAGCTAGAGGCCTCGCGCTCGTCTTACCTTTGCTACTATTGTCTCCAAAGGGAATATTGTGGCTGTTGCGCACTTGAGAGTTAAAGTTTGCACTATCGAAAGGCTCGGTGTACAATCGCAATGCCGGTATTCTTGACGGAGAAATTGTTCATGAGACAACTCGGATGATGAATACTTCTAAATCACAGGCCGCTCGCCTGTCGAACACTCCGCTATGGAAGAGAGACGACTCTCTAGCCGGGTTCATGCGTTGAATCCGAAACTAATGTAACGATGACCGTCGATCTCATTTTGAAGGGGCTCGATAAGTTATCAAGATTATCAAGATAACTATCAATGATGACTGTCTTCGCCGAGACGACTCCGTGACACATTTATCCGAGGTGTTAACGCGCCGATGTTCTGCGTCCTCGGGATTGGAATTATGAGCTAACACGTTATATCGGGTTATTTTTGAAGTCGATGCAACTCAAGGTCATTGTTCAGACCATGGTTGGCCTTACAATTTTGTGAGCGCTTCGCTATCGGATTGTGAAAATCGCATCATCAAGTGCACGAGATAGTTTCGCTGTCTTTGCCCGGAAGAAAGAGCCGTTTGAACTACTGAACTGTGTAGTCTGAACGCGTGACCGATTTAACAGTGGAAGCATGCTGCAGTTCAGGTATGAATACAAGAGATGACAAATGAATTGCGAATCGATAGGTAACTCAAGCAGCTAATGAGTTGATCTCCTCGGGAGTAAGCCCATCCAGAAGGGAATCGACTTCTCCTCCGACGTCCTCCATAGCAATCTGCGGCTCATCACGACCGACAATTGATGATGATGAAGAGCTGGAGGGAGAGGAGGAGCTACTGCCGTCCGAGTCCTGAGCATGAACTGTGATAGAAAGGGACCGTAAGCAGTTGTAGGCACCCGACCTCGTCGTCGGATGGTTGGCACTTGTCGGCTTCCTCGAGGATTTCAGCAACTTGGGCAGTGACGACTTCCTGTGCTCCGACAACTGCAATGAGGTGCCACTCGAGCGGGCTCCTCATCTCCGCGCGTACTTATATTCTTTGCCGTCTCACGAAGGTAGTTGTCGAAGTCGTGAGATGGCCGACCTCTCTGGCAGGCGACAGTACGAGCCAATATCCGATGCACCGTGTCAGTGTCACTGCCAGCAATCGCCGTGACGGTCTCCAACCCAGCTGAATGCAGGGCTATCGCCCAGGAGACCGGCCTGGCAAGCGGCACATCATCATAGTTGGTATAATTATTCTTACAATCCGACGTGGCTGAGCTTAGAGGTCATCTCTGCAACGAAGGAAGGCGCACCAGTAGAAAGCTGCTCACTAAGGGGGGTGAGAGCGGCGGCCAAGGCCCAACACCGAAGGCGATCACAGAAGCCCACCACCATACCTACGACAAGACCTGGAGTATGGCTGCTGCGCATGCCAACAGACTCACCACAGAACGCTGTTGAAGTCGATTGGAGTTGCTGAATTTGACCACAGTTCACTTTATAAGTGGAGGCCAGAATGGGCAGTGGCATCTGCGGTAGACTCACGAAATCGACACGTTGCCGCGACCGTACAGTACTCCTTTAAGGAGGTGATGAAGCAACAGTGTCGCATAAAACCGACGATGGGTCCCGAGTTGCCGTTGCCATTCCTGCTCGTCCTGGACGGAGATTTCACGCCTTGCATAGAGCGCAGCTTTACCTTCTGCGACTTGCGGTAGCAGGCAGGCACGGGAGTTGAAGTCGACAGTAAAGCGTTCCGTCGAGCGCAGGTGTTGAGGAAGCCCTCGTCGATGCCACACCTGCTCAGAGTCATTATGAACATATGTTCGCTTTACTCAGCTGAGCTCAGAAGTGCCCCCGCTGGTTGATGTAACAAGGGCAGAAGTGCGCAGAAACCAACAAGAACTTCTCAAAATTTCATCAGAATTTTCAGCAACACATGTGGTTGTCCAAGTGCGTATTTCCCCACACTGCCCACCACAGTGGCGAACCTGTCAGCGATGGCCCTTTGCTCAGGCGTCATGCTATTGTAGAGATTGAGGTAAGCCTCCAAATGGACTGGGATATCATGACGAACAGGTGTTACCAGATACAACAGATGCAGGTCGCTGAAGAATAGACTCTTGTCGCGCCCTACAGCACAGGGTACCTCGATAACAGAATCCTAACACTAGCGCGACGGAGATCACGGAAGACGACAGAGGCCTCCTCAATCTTCAAAGACGAGAAAGCTACGGCCTGAGTAGAAACCGTCGTTCAAGCGTAGAGGGCACAAGTCTCGGCGGCAGGTCGGGCTCTCACCTCCCCTAAGGCCGTCGAAGTGATCAGTCCGTCCTCTTCGTTCACCTGATGGATGCATATGCAACGACACCTTATTTTGATAAGGCGAACCTTGACGAAGCGATTGCTCTTAAGTTCCTCTAAGCAGGCCGCTACTTCTGCTTGAAGACTGTTGCGAGTCTCTTCGTCCGGTTGGAGGTGATATCGGAGAAGTCTCGGACAGAACCTGTGGGGACGATGATCACCCTGGAGTCCATCAACGAGTGCACCTTGCTGGGATCTCATCGACATGACTCAAAAGCTTCAGGCAAATAACCTCTAGAAGGGCTCGTGTGAGCAAGTCGCCTAAATGTACATCCTTGGTTAACATAGGGATGCTGTGACCAGCAGTCTCAATACCTGTAAGGCGAGAGGAGAGACCGGTCAGCTGAGCATTGATGAGATCCTTCGCAGTGCGAGCCTCACGATCGTCCTTCACACAGAGTATGGCCTCGCCTTTGTTCGAGCCTGAGGAGTTGGTCCAGCGACGAGGAGCAAAGGGAGGCGAAAACCTGTGAAGCCAGCACGGCCAGCACGACCACACATCTGTCTGAGGCGAGAGGCGTCTAGAGGACTGATGCCGACCTGTAGTGAGCGGATGATCACTCGGCGTGCCTGAGGGTAGTGATAGGCTCAGCAGAGATGCTTTCAAGAGGAGGATCTCACCGGAAGGTTGACCCCAGCAGCAAGTGTTGAGGTGGCGCATAGGGTGTGAATGTGGCCATTACGGAAGGCTGTCTCGATAACACGTCGCTCCTCCATAGTGAGCCCCGAATGGTGGTACCTGTGGGTGACTTAAGTCTACTTTCGACTAACGACGATGATGATGATGATGATGATGATGATGATGATGATGATGATGATGATGATGATGATATTCCCACGCGACTCCTGTGGGGATGGACTTTCCGAGCGTTGCGTTCAATCCAGCAGGACAGGTGCGTAGGATGTCCAAGGCTTGCTGGCGGCCTCGGAGCCTAAGGAGGAAGACGATATCATCCCATTGGGTGGAGGGCCTATCTACACTGTGTCGTCTCGATCCCACGGGACACCGGGCCAAGTACCAGCTATGTGCATAGCGGTCTTCTCACACCATGCTTTGGTAGCGCAGAAAACAATAACACCAGTAGCGTTGGAGGCAACCTTACCGGCCTCGGAACATGCCTCCTGAGAGGCCAGAAAGGTTGCGAGTTCGATCCCTGGTATGGACGTACCTGGGCGACTTCCCACACAAGTGCCGTAATGCGATCGGGGTCTCGTTGTAACGACGGTATCTCCCTCACCACACGGTCGAGGTCTCCACTATGCAGCCGCGACCCGACCTTGACGAAATATTCCAGAGGGACTAACAAGAGGAGACTATGCGCGAACGGTGAATGGTGTCCTCACCAGGCCTGAACTCCGTCGTGAAGGTATCAGCCTCGAGAAGCCAGCCCTTGAGAGGTTCCAGGCTTGGTAGCGTGGCCGACATACACACCACTTGCAATTGATACAGTTCTCCATCAGTTGAGTTGGTAATACGGCCTGTCGCAAACCTGAGGTATCGAGTTCGAACCCTGCAGGTTGCATATTAGACATGATAGTTGTGGATTCTACAGCATGAGCTTCAATAGGATCAACTCGAGGATGTGACCTCTCTGCTCATCACCGACCATGTGTAGTTCGTCGATAATAACCGTACCTGACACATGAATTGGCGGAAGCGTGGTATGTAAAAACTGCATGTAATTCAATGTTACCAACGTTAGAGGTAGAGCTGTCTGCTTGCGAGACCAAGCGGTTGACCATACCATTGACCTTCTCAAGCGTACCTAGCAAGAGCGTTCGACCAGGACGCCCACGTTCAGAGAGCGTCTACCGAGTGCGACATCTACCCCAGCGGTCCATCCTCCGATGAAGCCCTCCTTGTCAACAGATGCGTTAGAATGAAATGCCTCTATTCTGAGGGAGAGAATATGTCTTCAGTGAGGATCGAACCTGCGTGACCCACCTCAGTGCCGCCAGGCTTGAGCTTTGACCAGAGTCACCCCATACTCGTCTGAGCTGCTGGAGCTTCTCCTGACAGATGGAAACGTATCTGAGAGCAGGCGGTCACGGCCTGACCGTGAGAGGCAGAATGCTGCTCAGGCTCTCACGGTAGTGTATAGACTCCACGAAGGCCTCGGAAGAGGAGCCTTCTGAGCATGATGAGTTCAGCAACTAGGCTCTTTCCTCCACTGGTAGGGGCGCAATAAACCCCGCACTTGAAGGGCCGGTCCACGGAACGTTGAGGGTTTGGAATGCTCGGCCGGTTTTCGAAGCCGAAGAGGGTACAGCCCAAAAGGGTCTCTAAAAGAGCAGAGCAGAGAATCGATAGCTCACGGTTGGTCACAATGCTAGGTAGGCATTCGAAATGACAACACAGTGGGGAAGCTATGTTCGTACTAAGACACTCAGCTTGCCAGTTGTAGAGACCGGTGATGCCACTGGTGAGACGATACCTACAAGAAGCTTCGATAGGCCACGGGTCGAGATATGATATTGCAGTCTTTGCACAGATGTCGAACTGCAGTTAATCGGACTACAGGATAACCGTTCATCTCCGCTAACGTAGCGTTAACGGAGTGTTCGTGATTAGCAACTATCGTATGCACGTCAAGCAGCTAGTCGGTAGCCGAATAGAAACATCTACAGGCTCAGATATTCTCAAGACTCACGCCTCGATAATGTTAGGGGGTAGATGCCAGAAGCGGAGGTCCAGAGGGGTCGAGGGAGGATACTGTTGACAGTAGGGGAGGGCTCGAGGGTTCACAATGGACGAATTGGGGCCGAACTCGGCGACTGACATTCTGAACCCGAGATTATGCAGACACAAGCGAGGTGAGACCCACCTGGTGATAGCCTTCTGGTCACGCTCCTGGGCCAGATAAGCGTCCCTCCCACGAGAGTAAGCGATACCATCCAATGAGACGTAAATTGCCACACGGTCGCCATCGAGAACTCTGGAGCGCCACAACCCAAGACGTCTGTGCCTATGACCGAGAATCGCCTAACGTGGGAGTATGGAGGTACTCACGCCTGTTTCTTGAGCATCTGTCTGACCTTGACACGCATCTTGCTCTTATACTGTCTGGCCTGATCCCGCTTCCTCTTCCTCTCAAGGCCGGCACGCTCCCTTAGAGGACTCGGCGCGCCGATCCCTCTGGAGCTCGCCGCACTGCCAGCACTACCTCTCGCAGCAGGGGGAGGTGGAGCGACCTCTTCGACTGAGGCACAACTCGTTGATAGCTCTGGTAGTTAATGGGCGACCAGTAGTGCGGGAAAATATTCACATGGTTAACTACATGCCTCAGTGTCAATATGAAAATTTTGTAAAAAACATAGGGAAATTCTCTTTGGTTTATGAACACTAAATTTGTGAGTAAACTTCTATCATCAGTGAGGAAATTGTCAGGCTCAGCTGAGGAAAGCGAACATACGTCAGCTGACCATACCTTTCTCCGGCTTGCTGTAGCTTTTGAGGTAACCGGCGTAGTTCTCAGGTAGGATGAGGTCATCCGTGCGTTGAGCGTAGTCAGAGACATATTCTCGCTCTTGCGAGGATGTGCTCAACTCTGCTGCGATCAAGCAGGAACGGTAGTAATCATCATCAGGCAGGTCTCCTGTGGTAGGCTGCTGAGCTGAGTTCCACGCTACCGGACACATAGTCGCGACATTGGTTAGCTCAAAACTTCAAGACTTCTCCTTGGGCGAAGTACCCAAAAAACGCACGAACAAATTTGTTCGTATAGTAAACTACGGTTCGAACAAATTTCAATTCGCAATAGGATACTCTGACGTGCAGAATCACGTCGTATCGAATGGGATCGATGCGCACTGAGTCGTTCTAGTTCCCTCAGCTTTCGCCCCATAGCTCTACCAACTACCATAGATAGTGAGCACTGCAAAACACAACACTCCTAGTGTACCCTGACAATATTCGTATTGAAAACGGCATGCAGTTTCGCTTGTGCGACACACTCGCGTTTCCCGAACGGCCGGATAGTAGAGGTTGCGGACTCCAGGGTCTTGACAGAGGCCACCCCTGATTCGCGTCAGAAGTGAGTAAGTAATAGAGTTGTTCCAACTGTCTCGGCAGAGAATGCAGTTGCAGACTCTACGACTTTGGCTATGTCCTTGTCGAGGACTCCTCGAGGAGCCCAAGAGGACCACGATACGAGTCTCCGTTGTGTACCGTCTAACAACGATCGCAATATGTCCTCGAGCTTCGACAGAAGCTACTCATGGCATTGGCTACGAACTCTCGCTTGGTTTTCTTCAACGTCAAGAACCGCATTACTAGAGAAAGGGTCTTCTCGTGGTTGCGCAAATTGACATTATAGAGCCCATCTCCCATCCTTAATACACGTCCTCGGTTGAAGTCGACTTACGGGCAAGGGCTAAGGTCGGCGGCCCTGCGCCCCGAGAACTCCCACTAGACGCGTTTTGAAGTTGAGAGATTTCAAGAGTTCAAGAACGTTGAAGTTTCTCACGGCCTCTATCACAGCATTTCCTAGCCGTTGTTGACCGGCAGCGCTGGAACTTCTTTCTTCAGGGATGAATCTACCTCAAAAGTCAAAGTTCTTCGGTGGAAGTGTTAGCTGATCGTTCTGCAAGGGGGTTGTTATTTGCTTTGAGTGCTCGCAGTATTTGCACGTGATCGAACATCCCTGGCGAAGCAGAAGAATTCTCAATTAATCTTACCGGTGTCTTAGTGCCATCGTAGATGTTTTTCCTGATGATTCCTCCGATGACTGGGTATCCTCGGACGCTCGAATGATGGTGAGAATATCCTCGACCTTCTCCGATCGGATTTGGTGCCGTTGAAGTAATAGCATGCTCTAGCGATAGACTCTATCGGATAGAGTATTTTAGACGGAGGAACTATACCGAGAACACGATGAGGGTTTGGGGAGCTATCGGCATCAAGGGTCTCGAGAGCACCCAGGTACTATGGGGCGTGATGCAACAATGGCTCGGGGAGTGTAACTGATGCATGTCCGGGATATGAGCTCGTTGTCCTTGGTATACTGATAGAGGACGAGGGCATCTGTAACACTCAAGCCTCAACCTTGTGCCCAAAGGGCACCACTTTAGGCTGATCCTATGAGTTAGAATTGGCAGGATTAAACTATCTATGGTTGAACTGCAATTCAAGAATCAATTTGAGTCGTTGAACTATCTCACTAGACATAGGCTTGTTGAGCTGACGCTGAACTCTAGGGCATGGGGCCTGATTGTGCTGGTGCATACTCCCGAGCTGGTCACTTTATCTCGGGCGCGGTCATTTTCTCAGATGTTTGCTAGCCAGCTATACTCGATGCGGTTCTTGATGTGAGTGCCTGTGGTAAGTTTTGCAAGTGCTTTTTTTGCGACTACGGTTCGGCGCGAACACAGCGTCGAACACAGCGCAGATTACTTGGTAGTAATCGCCGGAGGGATGTCGTGGTTCTATGTGGCAGTATCATTAGATGGGGGGACGTTTGTAGGTATTGTGTCGTGTCAGATGCGCATTGGCAATCCCCTTGGGGCTCGTGAAGGCGCGCATCTGAGGTGTGTTGTGGGAATACCTACTACGATACGGATCAGTAGCTGGTGGTGTCACTACCGTGGTGGGCTCGCCTACTTTCCCGTTGTTGTCATTGCCGAGGACGCTGGCACAGCTAATACCAATGCATTGAGACAGTATGGTATTTGATAGTTAACGCAGTAAGCATTCGGATCATCATATCTACGATGGTTGGCCCTTGTACTGTAGTAACCTTGGTACTATCCAGACAGAGCGGAAGTTTACGTCCATTCTAAAGGATTCAATAAGTGCTACGTGCGAGGATTGGGGGATGTTCTGTTGGTTATGCTCCAAGCATAGTAGTAGGGTATGTACGGCTATGAACACGGACTGAACAAGCTAGGAAAGACAGCTCGACGAGAGTATTTCCTCAGCGACCCCAAGAGGTCGACTATGACTGGTTCTAATATCTTATGAGCTTGAATGGTTCGGCAGTCGGGCTCCGGCCTTGTCTGGGCCAGATCAAAACTCTAAATTAGACTGTCCTGACCCTCCCCCCACTTCACGGCGTATGGGTCCCGGGTTTGGGAGTCAGTCAGAGTGAACGTCTGGTCGTAACCCGATTGTGGCGTGTGGGCTGCGGATTGCTCGAGAAAGGTTGTCAGCGCTTCACGTTGCTCCGTGCTTCCCGCTGTTTCTTGGAAAAAGTCATTCCCACTGTCCCAAACTGTGAGTACCTGACCGAAAGCGTCCGAGTTCAGCTCATCTTCAGGTGTGGACGCTTCCGAGCTTTGTCTTCTCACTGAGAGCACAAGGTCACTAATCGTCGATCTAAGCAGCGGTTCATTTGCCGGTCCAACTATCGAACTAACACTTGGTTTTGAAAACCAGGTTTTCCGACACTGTCTGGGAGACGGTCGAGTTCTGGCTTGACTTCCACTTGTTTGGTACACGAACAGATCGGGGAAGCGTCTCACCCTACTGTTCTGATCTTCTCGGCTAGATGGGTTTAGTTTGGGTGGACCTACTGAAGGACTGTACATGATGGCTAGCTCTATGAACTCACGAAATTTCAACGGTGATCCTTCGAATATTGGATCTTCACAAGCAGCAGATTCACCAAATCGACTGTCGGGGAGCCCAGTTGGAACGGCGATGATTCATCGCCGATGAATTGATTGGTCATTGTCATAGGATTTTTAATCATCACATCTTCTTGAATTTCCGTTATGACGAAAAAGGCTCGCTCTCTACCCAGGAAGAACATCAAAACACCTTCAGTACAAGTTCCCAGGCAGCAATCGACGCAGTGAGTCTATAACGGGATACACAGAGTTTTCCATTCACTGAGTGTGATGCTATTCAATCATCACATATGCAGTTTTAGCACACTCTGTGGAGGCTGAATAGTGAGTACATCACTCGACCCCTAACTTTCAGGCAGTTTATGGTCCAGTGCACCACTCAGGAGGCAGTCCGGAAGCTTATAAGCTTCGCGACTGAAAATCCCGGAATCACGTGCTACAAGCAGATGCTGTCAGGAGGTAGTCGTTTTGGGTCGCTCTATGTGCGATACACCGTTCCGGGGGCGGCTTATTGGTCGGGCTCCGACCTTCGGGGTATCACGGCCTCTGAGCGCACTGCGTTCAAGTCGAACGGTTCAACGCATTTGAGCTACTACTCTGACCTTGATTTCAGTCCCGACTGAGCTCGAGGACTCACTCTCTGGTGAAGGTGCAACGGCTACGGCTCGGGAGCTCGATACAGCCAATAAGACGGTTGTACGCCTCGATAAGAAGAGCTGTCAGAGCTCAGATCGACTTGTTGATTACGATGCAAGCGCCATCGAGGAACAGCTCATGCAGGACAATCTGCGACATCTCCGGACTCCTAAGAAAGTGGCACACAATAATGCCCACATGAGCGTCGATGACTTTGAAGCAGGGAAGCGAAGACTTAGTAGTGAGGGATTATGGCAACTGAACGGCGACCATATGGTTCAACCATAATGGTTGGCTCTCTTCCAATTTTGATCGATTGATTTATCCACTCTGTAGTTCTATATGAGGGTATTGAACCCGTCGATGATGGGCTGTCTTTCTGGTAACCACAAATTTGATTCACAGACCGTGAATCGTTCGGAATTTCGCTTAACATTTCCCTGTACATGGCATTACAGCACTTCTGTATTCGCTACGTTTCCCAAGCCAAGGAGTGACAGCTAGACACTGTGAATCACAGACTGTGATGCACCGGAGAGCTGAGTTTTTGCCAGTGGAGAGAACTGTGGAAATCTCTCGTGTAGGTTGGAGTTCGTGCACTTCTTTCAGCATCTCGTAATCGCTCAAACGACTTTATTCCGGAGGGCATAGATGCTGTGGCGGCGAGCCCAGTAATCCTTTGCGAGGGAGAGGTGGTGAGGAGGAAGAGCTCAGCGGAGTCGCTATTGAAGCGAACACCACGACCAGCAACTCGGGCGGCGCGTCGGGAGTCACAAACCCTCACCCCGCTTGCGTGCCGGCCTACGCAGACCCCGAAGATACCGTTACCTACGTACATGAGCGCCGACGGTGATGCATCGACTCGTGACTCGTCCAGCCGGAGGGTCACGTGCACGAGGAAGTCCACACGTCGGTCGCAGCGAGAAGCGAAGAAGGCTAAACATGATTCGCAATCTCTCTCGTCGCCGGAGACTCCTACCACGGTGACTCAGGATGGAGACCATATGAGCCTGGAAGTGGCTGATGAACAGATGCTGGCTGGGAGGCATATAAGCAATGCCAAGTAAGTTGAGCCATGGATATATGAACCTCCGTCTTTGCGGTTTTCGTGGCATTTGTTCTCGCGAGGAGTCTTTTGTAGGTTCCGCAAGGGATTCGTCTCTCCTGACACAGGCGAGATAGTGTATGTTGTACGCGATATACTGGGATACCGCAGACGTGGAAAAAGCATAGAAGAGTGATTCAAGATTGCGTTATCACGTTTTCCGTCGAAGAATCTTTGATGAGTGTAGGTATAATGTCGCCTGGGAAGGGTATCCCGATTCTGCAGCTACCTGGGAGCCAGCTGCCAACATCCCGGCGTCGGAATGGAAGGAAGTACGGATGCACTGTAGACCGAATCTATTCCAATATCTCGGAGAAAAATGTGCTCAAAAAGTTTCCTGTCGAGAATCAGATCCGTGACATATTCAAACGATATAATAGTGTTAGCAGAGCCGTCATACGGAATTGTAGGTCAAAAGTTACACCGGTAACACGGAACGAATTCTCAAGATTCACGTTATGTGTGTAATACTTCTACGCGTTCAAGAGCTCTTCTGAATAAGTCTCTGCTGAACTGATTTATTTGTAGTTCAGAACTGCTAGTTCCCTAGCTTGTCAGATTAGGTCTTACATGCTCGCTCACGCCTCTCTCGTATGAACGCATATCCTAGTCCTCGAACCCGATAGCCATTCTTCCTTCCAGGAGCGTGACGATGCTCGCCGGAAGTACGAGCTCGAGCAGAAGCTGAGGCACGGGGTGAAGAGAAGAAGAGATCCAGAAGTGCTTTCTGAGTTCGCGGAAGACATAATACCACTTGACTGAGAGTTTTGCGTTTTCTTCCTCTGTTATCATTATTACTCTTCGTATGTGACCTGTACTAATTGAGTGCAGAGAATGAGAATATTCTCTTCTCCGCCTAATGCAATGCTGCGAACTTCTGTACTGTCAAATTGACTAGTGATAACCTTGAGTTGCGTCATGGGTCGGGTGCTGCTCTAGACCTTCTCTCGGGAATCTTAAAACAGTGGGAAAGTATTCGCACGGACGTGTGTTGGTGACAAGATGAAAATTGTGAGGAAATTTTGGGAAATTTTCGTTGCTTCCGAAGCACTTCTTCTCGAATTTGTATATTAACTGCCATGATCAGTGAAGAAACTCCTGAGAGAAAAGCCAACAGATACTCCTACACTGGTCTGTCGAGTCGTGACTTAGATGGGAATCGCACCGAACAGTTATCGTTGCCTCCAACAACATGGCTATCTTGGTACCTCGCCTGTGGTCATCACTCGCCATCCCATGCTTGTGGACTCTAGCTCTGGCTGCTGACGAGGCCCCTGCACCCCAGTCCAGAGAATCTCATCTTATCAATAAAAAGACGTAAGACTACTCGAAGATGAAACGGTGGGCGGAAGCGCGCCCTTCTCGATCGGGTGATAGCGGTAGCCATAATGCTCTGCCTCAGGCTCATTGACTTTGGTGATGAGGTGTCCGCCTGGCTGCATAAGGTCTATCAAGCTGTGTGGGTGGAACAACCCGTAGTTGTGTAAGTGACGGGAGTACAGAGTCGTCACTATTCCACGACACTGCACTGCGTATAGTGAAACCGTCGTACTGTTCATCATGGGTGGTGATTGCCGACGTGTTCTGTTCGTTTCGGTCGAGGCGCAACCGGATGTGAATGCGGAATCTATTGTCTGGGGACTTCTGCGATCCATTCGTGCGTTTCTCCGCATCATGCGATCCACCTCCTTTTTACTTCGCCTTGTCCTCCTTCCAGCTTCAATCTGCTGACGTTCCTCCTCGGCTTGTGCTCGGTAACGCTCCTGCTTGTGATGATGATAAGACAGTTCGTCTTCAAAGCGAGGGAGGAAGGTGAGGTTGAACTGCATTGTCATCAATGTCGAAACTGGGTCCTGATTCAGCTGACCGTTCACAGCGCAAAAGGAAGCCGTCGATAGTCGTGTCTGATTCGGCTTTCGAGAAAAGCTCTTCGGCGAGGAGAAGGGGGAGTCGGGACAGTCGCCATATCGTTAAGAACAAGTGAGTCATGTGGAGGGACGGCACTTGTGTCTGCGAAAATCGACAGTCCGATGGCGTCCTTCTTGATGTAGTGGATGTATGAAGCCCTGGTCGTCAGGTCGGACAGTACTCAGAAAATGGAGTCGCCCGCCGCTGCTAGCATGAGGTCTTCATCTCATAGGGCCAAGCCGAAGTCGCATTCTTCGAGGACCAGTACACCACAAAGGCCGAGATCTCCTCAATCGTCCATTGTCGGAAGTGACAGTGCGGAGGAACACATAAGATCGAGGTAGCATGCCTCGCGATGCGAGTCGCATGCTGCACGAACAAATCTCGGTTCTTGTAGGATCCCTGGTAGGCCTAGTCCGGTACCCACGAAGATATCTGGGGATGATGGTAAAGTGTACGAAATCGACAGCATCGTAGACTCGAGAGGTGCTGATGATGAAGAGGAGTAGGGGAGGAAGTGCTGATCATAGTTGAGCTTGAGTGTTGTAGATTTCTCGTCACATGGGTTGGGTATCCTCCGACGGCTAGTACTTGGGAGCCAGTGGAGAATCTGCCGCGGTGAGTCGGGAAGGGCTAGATGCAGCTTTGGAGATTTGCCGAACGTCAGGCATTTGATCGAAGAGTTCAAGGAGTTCTCGTCCTCTTCGAGAGCGCGTCGGCACGTAAAGCCACCGCCGTCCGACTCGGACTAGTGTTGTCAGTCTCCTTCGGGAGCAGCATTATTTCGTATACTAGTAGATGATTATCGCAGAATGCAATATACTGTAGCTGAGTGGATTGGAAAGTCTTTCTGGCTGCAGCTGATCCTCGTATCTCTGATTTCCATACGACCCCATGGACTTGAGTTTCTGTCAATTCTTGCTAGAATGCGGTACGGCTTAATTCCTGCAGCGTTGATCCTTCACCGCTTGCATACACTCAGAATGTCCAAGCCCTCCAGCCTTCGAGCGTTCATACTTCTCGCCTTGACAAGAATGGCTGAAGTAGCGTTAGCGGATGGAATGGAAGGACAGTATTGGCAGGCTCGGTGAGTCACTCGCTCTGCCCTTAGTGGTGACACCGATGGTTACACTCAGGATCCAGGAGGCCTGGCAAGAGTCAGTCGAGTGGTGGTCGAAGGTCTACAAAGTGACTTGGAGTGACCAGCCTCAGAATGTGTACGCCTTCGCGTTTGCACTCCTCACGAGCGTCACTATCGTCATCATCAGATACAATCTCCTGGCCATCGGAGCGTCCTTCATCGTAGTCGTGGTCAGCCTCATTCTGGGATCCAGACATATCACCAGAACTATGGAAGAAGAAGGTGAGTACGAGCGTCTACTTTTGGGGTAGAATAACTAAAGCCTCCCTCTGTCGCTGACCTTGCATGTGTATGTGGGGTAATTTATCCGCTCTTTAGTGGACAGTAACAGCTGCAGTTAACTGTTTCAGCTCATATCGCGGCTGCTGCTTTAACTGCTGATGAGGATGTATCGACAGAGGAAGGCCCTGGTGATGCCTCTGGTGATGATAGGAGTAAAGCCACCAAGAAGAAGGGAGCGAAGACTAGTAGCTCGAGCAGCAAGGCTCGGGGTCGCTCTACTGAGCGCCAGGCCGAGGATGTCCAGTCGCCGAAAAGGTGCCAATGAACTGATGCAACGCTGGTTCAATCCAACCTGTCAGATCTACCAAGGCCCGCTCTTCTTCTCGAGCTAGTCGTGCGGCCCCGTCGCCGGCTAGATCGGAATCGAAGTCTGGGAAGGGGTAGGAAGAACTGTTTTTGATTGGACACATCGCTGTTCGTTAGGACTCCAAAAAGCTCCACTAAACGTCGCTCGAGTCGAGCCAGGGCGTAATGCCTCGATGAAAGAGAATTCATTGTAGTAGACATTGTTGTCTTAGTAGATGACGACTCGTATCGATGGTTATGATTATGATGCACACAGGGTATGAGAATTTTGTCGCGTTCTCCTTGGTGTTTGGTGGAGGTGTTTGAACAGATTGAGAAAAGCTAATGGTTTTATATCTCAACATCGTAGTGAAGAACAGCAGTAGTGTTGTAGAAGAAAGGACTGAGAAGCGGACAGGACCAGAACTGTTGAGTGAGATTATCTTGGAGAGCTCCTGTCACGCATGGTTCTTATGGTCAGGTCAGATGATGTACTACATAGCGGCTCAAATCATTCGTCATACTGCGGTCACGGAGAAGGTCGCTATGGCGTGCCCAAAAGAGCTGGAGGTTAATCTTGAAGGAGAGCACAGTTTACAGGTTGGTTCGGTACTGGGAGACTCCCACTAGGAGTTGAGTACTCTTATGGGCAGAATCGGTCTAGGCCTTGACAGCTATTCGAATCAGTGATTCGGGGAGGGCGTGGTCATGGCATTTTGCGCTTAGGTTGAGGTGACCAAGAGAGGCGTGTGGGGAAACTACCTCGTATTGGAAGTATGTCTAGTTGGAGTACCTCAAGACGTGATGATCAAGAGCAAGGGCCTGCTCGTTGGGAGTGAGCATTTTCACATCGACTGCCTCTCCCAGTGTTGGGCTTTAGGCACGATAAACGTGCCCCGAGGCACGTCGTGTCCTAATAGCTCGTATAGGAATGCAATAGCTCTTCGCAATGCAGAGAGGCTTCTGCAAGAGAAACTGCCTAGTGAGATATCCCACAAGCTCGCTGGCAATGGCTTGGAGGCGGATGTGGTGATCAAGGTGTGTTCCATTAGTGCGGGAAAGTGTGGTCGGATGTCCCCCTTGGCAGGATGACCAGAGAGAGCAAGAACTTTACCAGACAGTCATGATAGACCAAAATAGCCGGGAAGAAGACTCTGATGAGTACTTGGACGACTGGACTCTCATCGAGAGAGACTACGTCATTGTCGACCCAGCGGATGCTGTAGTGGATTAAGGAGTTGCTGTCCTGCCAGCCCTGACGCAATGACAATGTCCTTAATTCGAAACAAGTTGTGTATATTGATCTGCTCAATTCGGCGGTCTCCTTTTGGAGCTCATGCTATGGATTTTACGTTAAACGATATATCCTGTGATGCTTGTGAACCTCCCATGGTTGAGTTAGTCGTGGTCACCAAGATTTCTGTTGCAGACCAATCGATTGGTTTCGTAAGGAGGCACAAAGGGAACCCAGCGCTGCGGAAAGTTTGGGAATATTCTCAATTGTCGGGTCCTTTCAACAGTGCCAGAGGTACATAGTGAGCTACATCTTTTATTTTCACTACTTATTCGTCACCTATCGAACAGGTATCGCTGCCTGCCAGCCGACCGGAATGGACCGTATCGTTGGGCTCGTCTGTCCCCACTGTGCGTGTTGCACTAGTTTGAATAGTGCGCTGCCGAAAAGCGACACATTGTGTTTTTATAGGCATTGAGATTGTTATTACCGGAAGCACTGTGTTATTACTACTACTGGGATCCGCTGGAATTACTCTGAGTGATTATGCTGTCGCCGTTGGTGGAATCTCCGTCTCGTGACTCAGATGAAATACCGAGAAGGAGATCGTCCGATTCCGAGGAACATCGAGAATGACACCAACTTGATACGGAAGACTCCTATCATACGTCGGCTCTAGTTCTGGTTTCTCGCCCTAGTCTTCTATTCTGGAAGCACGGCCACGACTGGTCGGCTCGAGACGGTGCGATCGACTAACTGGTTGACTTCTCAAGAGACCATAGGGCATGGGTCAAGTCCACACAATTGTCATGATGTTCGTCTTCGATGCATGACATTTGTTCGAGTTTATTCTATTGTTAGCGGTGGATGCGGCAGCTCACTCTGGTCGCTTTTCATGCTGCTCCCCTTCACTCAACGACAAATTTTCGCAATAGCATTCCTGACTGTCTGTGTCATCATTCTCCCTCTGCCTCTACGTCAGCTCATACTTCCTAAGAGGCCCGGGCTGATCTCCTCAAGCAGATGCTTATCCGACCAAGAACAGATCGATTCGCTGCCATGGATACGAGAATTGTACGAGTCACGTCCGAAAGCCTTCGCGCTTCACCGTATGCTGCATCAGAAGCATCTTTATATTCCACCACCCGATACGCGCGTGCCCACTGCCAATGAGAAAGCCTTCGGTAAATACTATATGAGCACCTACCATCCTACGCTGGCATGTCCGTTCCAAGAAAGGCTCGGCGGACCGGCCATAGGCCTGGTCCCGTGCGATCCGAGAACGGCCTTTGACAAGACTAGAGCTGAGTGTAGGATCAGGTCTTATGTCGAAAATGGCGACGTTACGACAGAGGAGCTTTTCTCAGCTGAACGTGTGTTGTATCAGCTGAACCCGAATTGTATCTTCGAGACCGACAACTCTCGTCGGGAAGATTTCCAGCGGCCCATTGAGGGGTATGGCCGAGTGACTTTGTTAAGATTCAATATGTACCATGGAGGCGTCCTGTCAGATAGGATTTTGGAGGATGTGAAAATGGCTGAGCAAGTTGTTGTGCTATTGCGATGGCCGATGGGAGACTACAATGCAGCGACAAGGCAATTCAATTTCTTAGACTGGATGGCTGAGAATGACTTTGCTGTATTTAGCAAGGAGCAGGAGTATTATCCCGAAACTGACGGCAGGAGGAATCTAGCTGTTCGAATATCATGGATTCGAATGCCTCCCGGCTTCAGCGAGCCGTGCACGAGTTCGAGCCAGTATCTGGTCCCGGAGCCTATCGTGGAATCTGGCGCGAGGTTATCGGAACTTCTATCTCGGGCTCGATCTGCACAGTTCATTGGGCCTCAGCGAAATAGACCTGATAAATGGTTCGCCCGCAATGTATTTCCGGAGATAGCATGCGAATTCGAGGAGAGGATCGGCACTCGTGGGGACGGCGGTAAATGGGTGTGTGACAGCTATAAACTGAGTCGGAAAGTGCGACGTGAACCAGTGATCATCTATTCGATCGGCTATGGGAACTCTTTTTCATTCGAGGCGGCTTTCCATGATGAAGTTAATAACAACTCAGAGATAGTTGTCTTTGAGATCGACAAGAGACTATATGAGAAGGCAGTGAGGGTCGGGCCCAAGTACATCACTTGGAAACACTGGGGGCTTGCCAATCGAGACGACCGCGCGAAGGAGCATTTCACCTTGCCTACTATGCGGCTCATGCTCGGCCACAATGAGCGTGTTATTGACATTTTCAAGATCGATTGTGAAGGATGTGAGTTTGACACATTCCGGACTTGGTTCAATCCCATAGAGAAGCAAAGTGAAAATCTTCCTGTACAAATACTGATCGAAGTTCACTGGAGGGATCCAAAGTCTGCCCGTTCCCTGCTAGAGTACCTAATGGACCTCGACTATGTCGTCTTTCGAAGAGAACCAAATTATCTTGCAAGATCTAGCTACATGGAATTTGGCTTGGTTCAGCGAAGCTTCATCGGATGACCAGTCTCGATTAGCGGCAAACGACAACACGATGCCTTTAAGCATGAGATCGTTGAATACCTTCCAACTTGCAATACTGCGTTACGTTTTGTCCTTCAATGCCACTTGTCACTGTATGACGACGTTTATGAGGTCATTGTTTGTAGCTACTTATCGAGGCAGTAGGACCTATGGTCTTGTGTGCCACACAATGTGTGGTCCTCTGCTGCTCACGAGTTGGTTGCCGTGACACCCTGGCCAGCGGCCGCTGACAGATGCGAATGCACGCAGCTGCAGGTCATCATACCTGAGGGCCTCAGGCTGAGGCTCTCAAATCACCTTATGTTCTTCGCTCGCGATTCGGGAACAGGGCGTGCAAGCTGATTGACATCATACTCACAAGCACGCCAGCCTGGTACATGCTGGCATCGCCCACTAGCATCCGATGATTCGTCACAGATTGTGACTCACAATGGTTCCGTCACGGAACCATCGTACAATTTGACCATTAGCCATTAACGTTTTACCATTAATCAACCGCATTAACACGGTATTTCATTATAGCAGAATGTTTGACATTCTGCTATAATGAAATACCGTGTTTTGTGACATTCAATGTCATTGACAAGTGCTCTCAGGAGCAATAGTACGCTGAGAATCAACCACAATGAGACAGATATCCACGAGAGACAACAATCGACACAAAGTTTGTGTCACAAACTGAATCTCACAGACCTTCACAAAAGTTATGGATCCTTCTAAGGCTTTCTGAGCAATCGAGTTTGGGGCATCATATCAGGCGGGACCTTCTTTCCGATAGAGTCAACATGCATGACTAGGTGATCGAACCCTTCAGTCTAGTCAAGTGCTTCAATCTCCAGCTCTGCGCGCTTGCGTTTCAGTGCTTCCTCGCCTAAGCATCCTCCATGACAACATCGAGGCTCAACTCGGCCGAAGCCTTGGCAGTGTTACTGGGATACTTGTCCTTCGCAGCGTTGATGAGGATTGAAGGTGCCCTCGGCGAGGACCCCTCGCCGCCGAGGAACAGACTCGTGAAATTCAAACCTTGAATTGTGCGAGCTTAGCGCACCACCGAGTTATGTTGGAGATCATTCAGGGCTTGAATTTCAAGTCATATGGCTCGCCGCCCTTCTTTTGCCGCTCGGCTCATTCCAACCCCCCTTCTGCTACCCAAAGCTCAACTTCTTTTGATACGCTCTGCACGGGCATAATAGACACATTATGTTCAGCTGCTTCATGCGGACCGCACAGTGCGGTGTTGTAGGTCTCGATTCGACCATAACTGGGTGTCGAGACTCTCGAAAAGGTCGTTTCAACTTGACTCAAGTTACTTGAACAGTCGCTGAATCCCTCATGAACGGTGGCGAGTTCTCCAATTCGAGATTGGCAATCTCACAACAGTCGCTGGGTATGATAATCGTACAACGATTGCCACAACACGCTCGCTGCGAGCGGCTCGCACACGCCACAAAATCCTCAGATGTAGTTGGTAACCTACTGTTGGTTGCTTCCGCAGCATACTGTATGGTGCATTCGTGCCAGATTGGATCAATAATTGTTTAAGATTCAATCTCTAATCCGGATCATCTTCATCGCATAGCGAGCTTGTCTGATGATCAAATAGAGGAAAAGTCAGTGAGCTCAGTTCACTGAACTGGTCGGGCCACGCCAACCGTAACCTCGCGTGCGATAAACACAACCTCCAGCGGGTTGGTTGGAAAGTGTTAGTAATGACGAGTGCATCTGAAATTCGGGCCGAACTGAGGATCTTAAAGTATAGACTGAGGTATCGCGAAGTTTGTTCAGTCATAACTCTCAAATAACAAAAAATAATAAATTCAAAGCACAGCAGCTTAAGACCTAACGGAAGAATGAGGAGGGCGCTTGACCCACGAGGAATATCTATTGGGCGCAGCACGCTTCCTCTTGTGAGTGATAAGCCATCACAGGAAACTTCGTGAAACTGCTGACGAGCGGCCGCTCTGAATACCTCACTGGGCTAGGCGCAGCAGATGGCTGGTAGATCATTCAAGCTGCAATGGGATAACTCGCAGCGAGCAAAATGCCGCAGATACCTAAAAATACCATCTGGTTACGAGAGAAAGAACTTTGAACTGCGGTGTGGACTCACCCTTGGGTGAATCGTCAATGGCCATCTTGATGTAACCTTTGTCTCCCCATGTAGCTCCCCAGGAGTTTTTTACAAGATAGTAACTGATCAGCGCATTCATTCGTCGAGTACGATGGCTCATGATGAGTGATGAACTCACGGCTCAATTGCTTTCAAGTCATAGCCAACCGCGAGAACACCATGATTCAATGACGTATAGCACGTAGCTGAAACCGGAAAGCGTTCCAAATGGGAGCATGGCAGTATCACGTCACCGTACAATTCAAAACCCCCCCGCCATAGTGTTGGAAAGCTCTCGATCCCGCATCAATGGCGACACTGACTGGTCCACTCAAGGCTATCGCTGCCAGAAGGGCGGGCTTTGAGGATGTC